GCAAAGAGGAACGATATTGACTGGTCGTAACCCAAAAAAATAATAAACCAAAATAAAATCACTTGGGCAGACTTTGGATCCGATAGGCAGTGCTGAGAACAACTGAAACAAGCTACTAGGACTGGTGTTCCTTCTGCTGTTTATGAGTTTAGAATCACTGACATTTCAAGCAACAATATGGAGTGGCTTAATACTAAAACACAACCCCAAATATTAGGTCCAGTTGGGCACTTTTTCACTGATTTGAGGCAGCCCCGGGAAAGGATTCCAACACATCCTTGCTCTGGAAGCTCTCAAACTTTAGGTGGACTGGTGGGGTTTTTCTTTGGGGGGGGGGTTAGTAAATGTGGAGACTTAATTGCTATGGTGCTGTAGTGGATAGTGGAAGACTTGCTCAGATCGCTGCCTTGTTGTGAAGTTAACTTAGGCCAGTTACCTCTCGGCTTCATCTGCCTCACAGGGCTGCTGTGAAGAGGAATATAAGCCCCCAAACAGCCCCCCCCGCACATTGTTGTGAGGTCCTTTGAAGAAAGGCAGGCTGCAAACTGGTGAAGGATCAAAATTATGTCAGTCTATTCATTCATTTATGTATACAGTTGTACCTCGGGTTAAGAACTTAATTCATTCCGGAGGTCGGTTCTTAACCTGAAACTGTTCTTAACCAAAGGTACCACTTTAGCTAATGGGGCCTCCTGCTGCCACTGCACTGCCGCTGTGCAATTTCTGTTCTCATCCTGAAGCAAAGTTCTTAACTCGAGATACTATTTCTGGGTTAGCGGAGTCTGTAACCTGAAGCATCTGTAACCCGAGGTACTACTGTATAGCCTACTGACCTTCATCCAAAGATCACAGGGCAGCTTGCAACCTAAAATGTGTGTGCAGAAGTTCCTCTGGGATCAGTGGGTTTCCAAATGACTGTATTTAGGATCCAGTAGTAAAAATGAGGGACGCGGGTGGCGCCGTGGATTAAACCACAGAGCCTAGGACTTGTCAATCAGAAGGTCGGCGGTTCGAATCCCCGTGACGGGGTGAGCTCCCGTTTCTTGGTCCCTGCTCCTGCCAACCTAGCAGTTCGAAAGCACGTCAAAGTGCAAGTAAATAAATAGGTACCACTCCTGCGGGAGGATAAATGTGCGCTGCTCTGGTTCGCCAGAAGCGGCTTAGTCATGCTGGCCACATGACCCGGAAGCTGTACGCCAGCTCCCTTGGCCAATAAAGCGAGATGAGTGCCGCAACACCAGAGTCAGTCACAACTGGACCTAATGGTCAGGGGTCCCTTTACCTTTACCTTTAGAAAAAATGCAATGAAGCCCGTGGTACTGCTTTTGAGAAAGTGTTTTCAGAACTATTTCGGTATGTGCCCGTGTGCTCTTGAAATGTTAATCCCCTGGTTCTAAAAATATCTCTTGGAACTAAGGGTTGCTTCCAACATCTACTTAACCCATCTTGTTCTTTCCTATCTCAGTGGGTTGACTTTCCCACCACTGACATATGATATGAATGGGCTGAGGTGACTTATGCTGAACCCCACTGTTGAGCCACCAAGCCCAAAACTAGCTCTTTCCCAGCCTTCTGCTCCACCCATGCCATTAAATTTAAGGTGCTGGGGTTTCAATGTGGGATTATATATATATATATATGGCAGAACATTCTGCTACCACTGAGCTGTGGCCAGACTTCCCATGGTTTTCATATGCTGCTGTGCTGAAAAGCAGCTAATATATTGTTGTTGTTGTTGTTTAGTCGTTTAGTCGTGTCCGACTCTTTGTGACCCCATGGACCAGAGCACGCCAGGCACTCCTGTCTTTCACTGCCTCCCACAGTTTGGTCAGACTCATGTTTGTAGCTTCGAGAACACTGTCCAACCATCTCGTCCTCTGTCGTCCCCTTCTCCTTGTGCCCTCCATCTTTCCCAGCATCAGGGTCTTTTCCAGGGAGTCTTCACTTCTCATGAGGTGGCCAGAGTATTGGAGCCTCAGCTTCAGGATCTGTCCTTCCAGTGAGCACTCAGGGCTGATTTCCTTCAGAATGGATCGGTTTGATCTTCTTGCAGTCCATGGGACCCTCAAGAGTCTCCTCCAGCACCATAATTCAAAAGCACCAATTCTTCGGCGATCAGCCTTCTTTATGGTCCAGCTCTCACTTCCATACATCACTACTGGGAAAACCATAGCTTTAACTATACGGACCTTTGTTGGCAAGCTAATATATATTCTACTGCAAACACATGGACATGCACACCTTGTACAGCCTGCTTCACTTCCACATACAACTATCTATGTATTTATGGGGGATGGGGGGGGATCTTATGCCAAGGTTGGGACTGTTTCAGGCTTCATGAGTAACATTGCCTAGCTCAGATCAGCCAGGGATCTTTCTTCTTTTCGTATTTTGAGAATAAAGGCCTTTAAAAAATGTGCTTTAAAGAAAAGAGGAAGACCAGGCCAAAGGGGGAGGGAAGTAAAATCAGCTGCCCGAGTCGGCCTGAAAATTTTTCGTACCATTTCTTTACTAAAATATTTTTACTCAGAAGCCTTGGCAGTTTCCTCAATGCTCGGGGGGGGGGGGCAGGTGGGGTAGCTGCCCCCTGATAAAGTAAAACAATAGAAATACTTAACTAAGTGGCCAGTCATGTCGGTTCTGCTCCCCCTAACAAAAGTCCTGCCTCCCCCTAACAAAAATCCTGGCTATGCCCATGAATGAAGAGAAACATGAATCAGGACTACAGCATCGGAATCAAAACTTTTAGATGGACAGTTTTGGGAGTGCCAATATTGGGGGCGTCACCCCAGCAATTCACTGGGACCTCAGTGCTGAGGGGAATGAAAGCAAAGAGTTCATTTACTGCTCCCCATTTATAAGCTATGTGGCCCAACAAAAACAGTCTAATCCAGGCATACCCCAAACTCGGCCCTCCAGATGTTTTAGGACTACAACTCCCATCATCCCTAGATAACAGGACCAGTAGTCAGGGATGATGGGAGTTGTAGTCTCAAAACAGCTGGAGGGCCAAGTTCGGGATCTAATCCTTTCACCTGTTTCCTACAGATCTATCTGGCTTGATTCAGTTTCAAAGCACTGTTGGTCTTTGGCATAGGGAACAAAAGTAAAAAGGGAAAAAAGGGGAAACACTATGTATGCTGTATTTATTTTAGTTGAAAGTCCTGATAATGATCTCTTGACCTATTCACTGATGTAATTGTTTCTTAATGAGCATATGTTTTAGATACTGCAGTGTGGTGGTGGTTTGTTTTACATTGCTCTACTTGTTTACGTATCTTGCAAAGAATTTCAATAAAAGCATTTACAAAACAACACACCTGCTCGAATGCATTTTTCGCAGCAATCCATGGAATTTACTTCCAGCAGAAATGGGATGCTGGCCGTTCTGTGCGCCCGTGTATCTGGTTATTGAAATATCTGTGAGGGTTAGGTGAATTAGGATTGTTAAAGAAGATTATTTGGTCCTCAGCAGCAGGTCATTTTTCTCTCTCCCTCTCTCACAGCCTTAGAACCGTTTTGGGGGTGGGAGAGATGTCACTCTACAAAGCTCATTGGCAGCTAGTTCAGGGCTGACCAAAGGGAATACTTCTTCACACAGTGGATATTTAATTTTCTTCTTCTTTTAAGGATTAGAAAAATCTCTGGATAGTGAATCTAAGAACATAAGAAAAGCCCTTCTAGATCAGGCTGAAGATTCAACATGTCCAACATCTTATTGTCACAGTGGCCAACCAGATGCCTATGAGAAGCATGCAAGAAGGACCCGTCCAAAACCTGCCAAAAACGATCCATATCTCTGACACCTGGATTATTGATGGACATGTACATTCAGGCACAGTTGGGTACCCTTATCCTATTGAAATCAGTGGACTTTGTCTTGGACATGACTGTCTTGGACTGTGGCCATTAACTTGAAAGTAAGCTCTTACTGAAGGGACGCGGGTGGCGCTGTGAGTTAAACCACAGAGCCTAGGTCTTGCCGATCAGAAGTTTGGCGGTTTGAATGCCCACGACTGGGTGAGCTCCTGTTGCTCGGTCCCAGCTCCTGCCCACCTAGCAGTTCGAAAGCATGTCAAAGTGCAAGTAGATAAATAGGTACCACTCCGGTGGGAAGGTAAACAGCATTTCTGTGCGCTGCTCTGGTTCGCCAGAAGCGGCTTAGTCACGCTGGCCACATGACCAGCTGTACGCCGGCTCCCTCGGCCAGTAAAGTGAGATGAGTGCTGCAACCCCAGAGTCGGCCATGACTCGACCTAATGGTCAGGGGTCCCTTTACCTTTAAGCTCTTGCTGTTATCTGGGGCTCCCAAGCATTTTAAGCTTTTCTGCACAAAGTTTTGGATAGTCTGATTTCTTGTCTTTCCCCGTTGGCCTACAGGGAGAGGAGTTGATGAAGCCCCATGCACTGGAATCGGTTAAAAAAAGGAAGGTGGATGATAGGCAGACACCAAGCATTTTCCCCCAACCACCTTGATGCTTTCTTTAAGCTGTCTTTTCATTAGCAACATAAACACTTGACTGACTGCCGCAAAAGAGCTTTTTCTTCATCATAGTCCATAGCTTTTTAATGTTTCATGTTTCATGATGTTTTTATATATGTTGGAAGCCGCCCAGAGTGGCTGAGGCAATCCAGTCAGATGGGCAGGGTACAAGTAAATTATTATTATTATTATTATTATTATTATTATTATTATTTACGATTTTTGTACTTAGGTCATAGCTGATAACAGATACCTGTAACTAGTTATAACAGCTACAACCCTTTTTCTCTTTGGTTAATGTACACACATATTTATATTTAAAGATCTGCCTGTATTTGCAAGCCTGTGTGTGTAAGAGGGACTTCAGACAAAATTGCCCTGAATCGTGGACGGATCCACTCAACCACTTAAACGACCCATTTATTAAAGTGACTAAGAAAACAGAGGGATTGGTGACTTAGAGCAGAACAGAAGCGGAAGCGTTTGGCTTTAAGCCTTTCATATCTCTGCTTTCTTCGCCAGCGCAACGCGGGCGCTGCAGCCCCTGCCTGGACATGGCGAGGCAAAGGAGGCAGCGCTCTGCCCCGACTCGCGATTTTGCATGCATGCGTGGGGAAAAGACGAGGCCGAGAAGAAAGGAGCAGGTGACATTAATCGCATGCATGATCTCAGGAGACAATCATTTGAAATCTTAATTGGCTGCCTTTTAAATATCATTTAAGGTCTCGTTTGGCCCGCTTCCTTCTCTCTCTCTCTCTCTCCAGTTAAGAAGGCGTTGTGTCAAAGCCTATTTGCTTTCCTGGACGGCTCTCTCGCCTCTTAAGTCTCTCCCCCCCCCTAAAAAAAAAAGGAGCAAAGACAAGAGAGAAAGAAATAGACCCATCATCAGTCGAGGTTTGCGAGGTCGATAAAGCTTTTAGATTTGAAGATGTTTTCAGGGAGCCCATTTCCTGCGGCTAAGAGTTGTTAATGGAGCTTAAGGAATTATCTTATGACTCCGACCCGGAGAGCCCCCAGTCTCTCTCTCTCTCTCTCTCTCTCTCTCCTTCCCTCCCCCTCGCCTTTTCCCTTTCTCCGGCTCCCTTGTCGAGACTGAAGCTCCAGCCGCCGCCGCCGCCGCCGCTGCTGTCAAAGTCTCTTAATGAAATGTAACGCGCCGCTGATTACAGTTTTATTTGGGCCCTATGTAAAAAGGCCATGTTAATTTCCCCTCCTCTCCGCGGAGGCTGGGAATTTGCCACGGCCCAGTGCGCGACAGAGGCGCTGCCTTGCAAGCCCAGAAATGCCACCCCTCGCCCTTCCCGCCCCGATTCTTCTCCCCAGTGCCGTGTGTGTGTGTGTGTGTGTGTGTGTGTGTGTGTTTAGAGAGAGTCCCCAATTTCCGGTGGCTTTTTCCGCCATCGCCTCCAGGTAGATGCTGGGTGTTGGGGTTTCATTTGTATGTAACGCTGTCGGTATGTACGAGATGTATTGATCCAGGCTCGCTCGAGATTAATTTCTCGCAGAGCCTGATGCCCAGCTTGATGCGGATTTGCTGGGGGCTGCGGGGGGGAGGGGAGGGGAGCGCACGGCGCTGGGTGATCTGAACGCAATCCGCGAGGAAGTTCTCCTGCGCGGGCACTGCCGTGAGAGAACGGGCAAGCGCAGGATTGCGCGCAAGGCTTGTCCCCCAGAGGATTGCCGCTTGGGAGAAAGGTCCCCCGCAGTCAGTTTCGTTGGGTCGCAGATCCTGCTCATTTCGACGCGGTTTGCGCAAGAGAACCTCCCCGCCTACTCTAGCCCCGTTTATTATAAGTTGTTTTATTTACAGGGAGGGCAAAATTAAAAATTATGTATTGTGCCATAGGACTTATTCTGTACACTGGCTGCGGGGTGGGTGTGTGGATTCCTATCCTCTGCTGCGCTGTGCGGAGAAATTATCCATCCGGAAACCTTCAGCCTTTTCATATTATTGGTGACGGGGAGGGAAAGTTGTCCTGTTCGTTTCAGAACAGCTTTCACTCTCTTGAAATTCACGGGACTTGAGAAGAGGGCTCCAGCCTCTCTTCACCTATTTGCTCGCATTGTTTTTAAGGATAAAACAATCAAACCCACAAAGCAATAACAGCAAGTCTCTATTTAATCGCCCATTCCAAAATTCCGCGCGTAAAAATAAAGGAACGGGGGAGGAGGGAAGCTATAAAAGTGGCTGAGAAACGTTGGCATCAAATCATTTATTTTTTTTAAAGAAAGAAAACAAAAAAATAAGATATTTGAAGTTAGCTGATTCCCTCCACCTTTGACGTTTCGAAACTCTTTTTAACGTCCTTATCTATTATTGCCTGGCTGGAGGAGTGCTGGAAAATTAAATGGCTGGGGTTGGTGAGGAGAGAGGAACTAAATATGTCCTGACAAAACACAAAACGCGATTTCTTAATAACAGGAAATAATTCTCGCGGGATGTGTTTCAAAGTCTCACGCGGGCTTACTCTGCGCGGGCCACAGTTTAGCGCGCGTAAGAAGCTGCTTTCCCTCCGTCTCCCCTGCGCACCCACCAACCCTCCATCTTTTGAGGTCCCTTGCCCGCTTTGCTTTTCCCCCGAACCCGGAGCCGCTGCCCCCCAGCTCCTCACTGCGTCGGACTGCAAAGATGGTGTGCTTTGTCTGTCCGCTGGGTCCGTTTCCCTGCAGCCGCCCGCCCAGACGGCATTAAAATTCCTCCTGGCCCAGCCTCTGGCTGCAGAGCCATCTCCCCAGAGGCTCCACTTTTCGCTATTACTGTCAAGTACCCTTGACTCTTTATTTTGTGCCCTTTTTATCTATTACAACTAATTCGAGTTCTTCTGCCCTTTTCAGCTCCAAGACGTGCCTTTCCGTAAGATGCCACCCCCTCCCCTCCTTTTCCCCCACTCCATCCTCTCCCCGCCCCGCCCCCCCGGGTGCAAAGCCTTCTCGAAATTGAAGAGGCTGGTTTTTCCCCCCCCCCCCTTGCGTTCCCTCCTCTCCCCCTTTTACTGTCAAAATGAAAATTTCACTTCAAATTATCTTGGCTGATGCAACGGGTTTCCTCGCCCCCCCTTCCTTCCTTCCTTCCTTCCCCTTCTTCTCACACCCCCGCTCTCCCCTTTTTCCTTTCCCCAGGCTGGGGGCCTCCTGTCTCAGCCTTTTGACAGCCCCCATCAGCAGAGAGGTTCACTCATTTCGATAATATCATCCGAGGGAGCGAAAGTCAATATAATGACAGGGGGGAATTTAAGGAGGAGGGAAAGGGGGGGCGGGTAGAGTGCGTGGGGGGAGTTGCAGTCCAATTACAGACGTTTGCAAGGAAAAAAAGAGAGGGAAGGGAAGGGACGGCGGCCACACCAGCAGCGCAGCCGTCGCCTTTCCGCTGCCTCGGTCCGAGCGCCTCTCGGTTCAGTTCCAGCCCCAGCGCATCTCCTTCCACCTGGGCGCCCTTTGGCGCACCAAACCCATCCCAGATCCGCCACCCGCTTAAGCACTAAGCGCTTGTGTTTTTCTTCTCCATTTGACTCCTATCAATAACAGAGAATGTGGCAGTTTCTAATCCCTTCCTAGGGTGCGCTTTCGGATTTATCCTGCACTGCAGGGCCGGAGGTGGTGATGTTGGATGGTTTTGTTTTGTTCGTTCGTTTCTTTGTTTTGGATAGTGAGAAAACAGAACCATCTCCACCGTTTGTACTCAGGGGTATGTTCTGTTGTTGTGTCGCGTGGGACCTGCTCCCAGTAAATGCGCCCTAGCAGAGTATTTGCGCCACCCTCCACCGCTAATGGGGCGTTTTGGAGATTTGTGTTGTGGCGGACTGCATTAGGCAGCTCGGCCATAAGAACAACAAAAATGCACAGGCAGCGCGCGCGCGTGTTGCCATTTATTCTTGGACACCCCCACCGTACAGAACCGTCGCAAGGTCAAACAGTCAGTTGCCGTGCGGGGCGGAGAGAAGCAAAGGGATTTGCGCCCTTGGCATGCAGAGGCCTATTTAATTGCTCAGAACAAGGTTGCTGGGTGCGTAAAAACACCAGGCGCAGAACTGAGCTGGCCAGAGACGGGGGTTATATCTGGAGAAAGAATCACATGTGGTCTGAAGGAGGAAGAGGAGGAGGATATCCTCTAGAGAAGCCTTAAATGGCACCCTTGGTTCGAATCTCATCACTTAGACCTAACTGGACAACTTGTGGATAGGGTGGCATTTGCGCTTAATTTTTAATTATTTCTATTTTAAATAGGTGTCCACTGGAGCCTGGTTGGGGGGAACAAATCATTGCCTTTTCACCTTGGCTTTTGGGGACTCTCTCTGAGGCGATGAAAGACTGGTTTAAAAACACTTTCTCTCCTCCCATCTCCAACTCCCTCAACCCCTTAAACTTTTCTAGATTGTGGCGAGTTCTGTTGGTGGCTATCTCCCTGCATCTTGCAGGAAAGTTTACACCCCCGGACTTGCGAAGAGAGGCGAGATCTTCAAAGCCCTTTCTGCCTTCTTCTAGCTAAATGGTAAATCGCCCGAGCCTTCTCCTGAATCGCGCGCGGGGGCGGGCGGGCGGAGGGAGAGAAGCGCTCGCTCTTTCTCTTGGCTGAACTTCTATTTAATGTCAAAACGGTAAACCATCCGTCCTGAAGTGCTGAAATATTCATAGAGAATCCAACGATTCTCTCTCCCCGTACCAGCGAAGAAGCTTCAAGTTAAAACAGTAGTTTAAATCATCAAATGTTCCATGTGAATCAATTGCTTCGCGCACATTAAAAAAGAAAAGGACCAGCCTTAGTAAATGGGATCTCTACTCCACCGGTGACTTCGCATCCCTATAGCCCAATTTTTATACAAAACCATTTATCGAGATCCATTCTAACTTTTCACAAAGTTTTAGCATATTAACACACACCCCTTCTAAAAATAAATAGGCAACTTCATCCACTAACCACTTAATCCACACCAATTGTATATAGCCTTGCAGTTTCCTAAGGAAACCGAATTCCCTTAAATTCTCGTGCAACTCAATCCTGTGCATGTTTACTCGGAAGCAAGTCTCCCTGGCTTCAGTGAAAAGCAACCCTGCAAAGGTTCTCAGCCTTAGTCGGAAAGAAAACAAAGAAACGAACGAACCCCAGTTTAAATCACAGCAGTCCCCGCTTAAGCGGGACTGAGGATCGTAGCTCTGCTTTGAAAATTAAGGTCTGTATATACTGTATATCAGGGTAAAAGAACCTCTTAGGGTGCCTCGCCCCTCCCCCTATTTCAGACCACACGTGATTCTTCTACGCTCGGAATAACTGTTGCAATAGAAACAATTAGACTGGCTTGTGTCTTTTTTGCTTAAAAGACTGTGCCATCTCTGCTTTGATAACATAGTGGGGCAATTCAAAAAGAACAGAATAATGGAATTCTTTCCCCACCCATTTCCTGCCTGCCCTTATGTCCCAGAGCGAGCTTTGGGCCCTTGTTGCGGATGTGGCTTCGCGATTTACTTAACCCGGAACAGGCGCCTGGCCAAACTGCACCAACGCCTGCAGCTGTCCAAAGGGAAACGTAGAGAGGGCAGGAGGCGCTGGCCGGCATTCACTGGGTAGGTGCGAGGGAGGATGATCGTTTGATTAAAAAGCCAGGAGAGGATTCTTTTGGAATCCCCCCCATTAAAAACCAAGATTACAGTCAGTCAGGTGAAAATGAACATATACATTTTAAGGCATAATGAGAAGTCGCCAGCCTCTTAGAGATTCTCGGTTTCGGCTGCTAGTGATGCAGCTGAACCAGGTGAAGTCAAGGTGGTCGGGTCTCAAGCTGGTTTAAGGTCCAGAACCACAGCAGCGCCAAACGCACCGTTGATTTTAGAGGGGGCCGTTTTCCTCTCGTGGGTTCCTACTGAGGTCTTTACCACTCGGGAGTATATCCCGGGTGTCGAAAGGGGCGGGCTGCAAAGGCACTTGCGCGTGGAAAAGAATGCCACCCAGATGCGCAAGACTTTGATTTCCAAGAGTGTGCTCCGCCCTACACTTATTGACTGGGGAATTCCGTACATCTCCACGGGACATGAAATAGACACGCGTCTTCCAACGCGTTTGGGATCCAGGCGTCGAAGCTCCACTTCCAACGCAGGCAACGCAAACAGACCACAAATCATAGGGTACCTCTGAGAGACAGACAATTTATTTGGAGTGAACATACCTTTTTCGACATAGCTTATTTGTCAAGTTCAAATTCGGTGTGTGCGCGTGTGCGGGCAATGGTGTCAACTTGGTGGAAGAAGTGCTGTTTTTTTTGTGGGTGAGATGCTAACGATGAGAAGGGGAGGGCGGGGTGGGTGGGTAGGGAAGTTCGAAGAAGAAACTAAAATTGGCATGCCACAAATCAATTTTTTTGTTTTTTAGGAAAAGGAAAAAAAAGGGAGGGGGAAAAACAGAATAGACAAACAACTCCCTCCCCAAGAAGCTGAATTCGAATCTCGCGCCTGGTAAACTTTGCAAGGTAAACGCAGAAGGACGCCTCTATAAACTAGTGGAACGTGCTATGGACTTAAATAACCGTGAAGACATTGATCCCTTAAGGCTGCAGCCAAGTGACAGTCTTTTCGTTCTCTCTCCTTATACCAGCAACTTTTAAAATCCTTGCTCGGTTTTTGCGAAGGAAAAAACGTCTCTGGTTTGGAACGGAAACTCTCTCCAAGTCTTTCTCTCTCTGAGTGTGTCTCTCCACCTCCCGCCGCTCAGTCCCTCGGGGCCCAGCCTGTCTGCCCCCCCATTCCACCGTCTTGCCTCCCTCCCCCGGCCTGTCCCAAGGAGGCGGACGGGGCGGGCGTCGTTCGTTAGGAGCAGAACATTTTGCTGCCTGCTTTGGGGAAAGCCAGAAAGTCTTTGCCGGAGTCCTGGGGCGCAGCCAGGCCTGCCAGCTGCCCTTTGAGCACGGCGGTGGCGCCGCCGCCCAGCGAGCGCCCCAGGGCCCCCGTCTCCAAGAGGGAGCCTTTGGTGGTAGCCCAAGACACTGCGGTGCTGCTCAAGGCCTGGTTCAAAGTACTGTGCCGGAAGAGCGGGTCGTGGAACACGCCGTCAACCCAGTTCCTGAGGTTGGTGACGGGGGAATCCTTCGGGTGCCTCTCCAAGACGCCCCCAGCCGTCGGGGCCGGCGCGGCGCTAGAGGCACTGGATGCCCCCTGCTGGCGTTTCAGCATGCACGACGGGTACTCGGCCTGGTTGAGCGAGGTGGCCGTGTGCGCCAGGGACCAAATCCTCGGCTTGCTGGACGCCTCCAGGAGCTGCTGCTGCTGGTAACACGGCTTGGCCTCGCAGCTCCTCTGCCGCGCGCTCAGCAGCTCCGCCGCCTCGCAGCCCTCCGCGCCCGCCGTCGGGTCCTTGAGGCAGCTCTTTGCCCGCTCGAGGGGGCTTTCCAGCGGGGCGGCGCCGGCGCCCAAGGAAGAAGGATCCTTGCAGGCCTCGGTGGCGCACGCTTCCCCCTCCGCGTGGCCGAAAGCCGCAGCCTTCAGCTCGCCCTCGGAGCTCTCCGACTCCAGCGGGTCGTAGTCGTCCAGGTCGCTGAGGCCCAGCTCTTTGTCTTCCTTGCTGGCCGGCTCTGGGCAAAGGAGGGAAAGGAGGACACGTTACAAACGAGACGGGCAGGGCGCGGCAGATACATTTGCAATTGAAGTTCGTTCTTGGCTAGTTGAGGTTCCTACATTGCAGGGACTTGATAACCCACGGGGCTTACGATTCTGTGCAATGGCTTTAAGGCTAGGACTCCTCCACCCATTCTCTGTCTGTGTTTTGCTTCCCCTCACTCTTCACAACAGCTCTGTAGGATGCAAGGTTAACAGCAATCCTATTTTACTAATCGGAACCAGAAATGGGCAGTCACTGGGATGTGTATAGGGGGACGTGACCAGTTTATATAGGCTGCGCCCCTTTACCTGGCTTGCTGGACACAGTGGGCGTGGCTCTCACGGGGAGGATTTCCTGTAGACCCTGTGAGAGCCAATTTCCTTTCTAGCAAGCACGCACTGTGGGTTTGACTACGTCGTAAACGTTCCCCAACTTACCCAAGGCAACCCAAACACTGCATGGCTTCCAAAGGTTTCGAAACCCAAATATAATGCCGGTGTTGCGCTCAGGCCTAGCAAAATAAGTAACGCGCTTTTCTACGCGAGGAAGCAAACCTTTCTAAGGTTTTGGTCGGGTGGAAACCGTTGCAAAGCCCAGCAGGCGCACCCCTCATTTGACAGCCCCCTTCCCCTGTCAAAGCAGAGCAGACTCAGAAGGGACACTGGCCGCCTCAAGACATTCAGGAGTGCTCTGATGGTGTTTCCTGCTTGGCAGGGGGTTGGACTCGATGGCCCTTGTGGTCTCTTCCAACTCTATGATTCTATGATTCTATGATTCTCTCGAAATCCCCAGCGCAGCTCAACTGCAAATCTAGAAACCTCTTTATTGCATTAAAGGCAACACACCCATACTTTTGGTCCCCTGGACTCTCAACACCCATCACCCTCCCCGTGTGCCCACTATCCTCGTCCCAGAGAAGGGCGACAGGGCTAAGATAGCTCCTGCCTCCAGTATACGGCTAAGAGGCTTGGAAGATACCCTCGAGTTTCTCATTCTTCAAGCTCTCCCCTTGACCCTCTCCCTCGTCCTCGTCCTCATAGGGTCTCTTTTCGTCCGCACACTTGTTCCTGGGGGGCCAGGTCATCTTGTTCTCCTTCTTGAGCCTCCTCCTGGCGTTGGCGAACCAGGTGGAGACCTGCGTGAGGGTCATCTTGGTGATGATGGCCAGCATGATCTTCTCGCCTTTGGTCGGGTAGGGGTTCTTGCGGTGCTCCTGCAGCCAGGCCTTCAGCGTGCTAGTGGTCTCCCGAGTGGCGTTTTTCCTCCGCGTCCCTCCATCCATGGTACCATATCTAGGGCGGGGGAAAGAGTGTCAGTGAAAATGCAGCGCCAATGAGCCGGAAGAAAGCACCACCCACATGGTCTGATTCACCGACGCAATTCCATTTCCCGCGAGAAAGGGATCCTGGTATCCAAGTTTCACCTTTAAATATTTTCCCTCTTTCTACAAAACCCAGAACGCGCTGGTCTTACCAGGAAAACGGTTCAACTTGGTTAAGCCAAGAATCTAGAAAGACGGAGCGTTTGGATACACAATTGGTGATCAATAGGACCTTAACCAGCTTGCTATCCTGCCTATACTTACTTGGGAGTAAATCCCCCTTGAAAATGGGGTCACACAGTTAATCTTGGGATTTAGGCTCACCTCGATCATGGATGGAGTCTTTGGGACTTGCCTCGCAAATAACTTACTCGGGGCAAGACCAATGTACACCTGATCTAAATCGGGAGTATAGACAGCCTCAAAACAACGGCACTCGGGCTCCTGAAAAGCGTGCTGCGGATCTTGTACACGCTTACTCTGAAGTGAGTCTCGGTGACTTCTGAGTTTGCACCGGATTGCAGCCTGAAAGCATGTCTACTTCAGAAGGCAAAGAGCCGCCCTTGAGAGGCATCCAAAATTCAACTCCTGCAAAATGGATATGCTAGAAAAACAATATATATATATTTTAAAGTCTACTCTTGCTCCAGCGCTCTGAGAGAGTCCACCGAAGTAACCTCAGGGCGCAGTTATTAATAAAAATGTTTATGTTATTATTAGTAAATTTCTCTCCTACCCATTCCATATATATATGCTGCATAAGACACTGGGCTATACCTGAATATTTAATGCACACCATCTAAGGAAAGGTCATCAGCACCCAGTGGGCTTAAAAGGTTGGAACAGCGTAAGGAGGAATCTTGGTGTGTGTGTTTTAAAGCAATAACCGCACCAAAGATTAAAAAGAAGAAGAAATATAAAATTGTTCGGCACATTTGTAAACGTGGTGGGGGAGTGACAAAAAGCGGCCCCCAACCTGCCCATGTAAAAGTAAAAAGAGAATCCAGTAGGAGATGAGCGAGCATTTTGGTTCACACTTGCCAAATGATGAGTGAAAGGCCAACGTGACGTCTTGCTCGTGTGAACGAACCATCGCGAGCTCAAAAGAGGCAGGACTTCCTGGCACCTTAAACGCCGTGTTGTTAAACGGGTCCAATTTATACTTATAACAAAGGCTGGATCATCTGAGGTTGGCTACCTCAGGGGCTAAAGAGTCGTCAAAAATAGAAGTCTCGGAAAGAACTTCCCTATCATCTCACAGTGTTTTTCAGCAGAGCCGGTTTATGCATTCAGATCCCAGTTAATGAAGTGTGCCCTACTCAAGCGGAGAGAAAGGATGCGCGTGCACGTGTGATGTAGCCCGTGGAAGCTAGTTGGGAAGAGGTATTTGTGATTAAATCCATACGGATCTCTTGCTGTGATAGCGCAGATCCTATCGCATAGATCGAGCGCTAAGGCAACCACAGTGCTTTCCTACTATCCCTGGACAATATCCACCAGCTTATAGGGATGCTATACTTGAAAACGCTAGAGGATAAAACGCCAGTGATGGGAGTAAGTCGCTCGTGTGACTTCGCCTTGCCTTCAGATTTATTGTGTTCCGCCAATGAAGGCGTGCCTTCCTTTCTCACTTCGTACTTTGGGTATCAAAGCCATTGGACTTCCGCATGTGCAGAACTAGGCTGTATCCTGTGGAAAGCGGAGGCATGCGAATGAAATGGCACACGGGAGCTAATTGAGATCGACTCCGTGAACTCTTTCATCAGGTGTATGGAAACCTCCCCCTCCCGCGCCTGACTACAGCTCCCATCAGCTCCAGCAAGCATAGCCACTGACCAGCGATGATGGGAGTTTAGCAGAGTTTCCCAAGGTTGGGTCCCCAGCTGTTTTTTTGGACTACAATTCCCATCATTCCTGACCATTGAGCCTGCTAGCTAGGGATGATGGGAGTTGTAGTCCAAAAACAGCTGGAGACCCAACTTTGGCAAACCCTGATCTGGAGGACCAAAAGTTCTCCACACCTGATTAAGATCAAGGATGGAGACGAGGCTTTCCCCAACCGGATGACCTATAGTTGTTGTTGAACTACAACTCCCATTATCGAGTTGGCTAGGCTGGCTGACGCTGATGGGAATTGGAGTTCAACAGAGTGGAGGGCCGCAGGCAGATCCGCTTACTCCTTCGTAAAACGGATCGGGTCGAAGTATCGATCTCCATTACTCAATGAGGACTTGCTTCCAAAGAAATATAGCGAGGAGATGAGGAGATCCAGATTATGGTCAGGCTGGCAGACGAATGAAAGAGGTCAAAAGGAAAGCTTTTGCATTCGCTGTGGGCAACTCCAAAACGAATCGGAGATTAGAGGTGTAAAACTAGCTCCGGATCAGTGCAGAAGAACGAAGAACAGGTTCGTTTCGTGCAGACAACACGGAAACATAACTTGTTATTGGCATTTATAGAGATAAAGAGCGGACGCCACTAAAGCTCCATTTAAACCCATTTCTTTCTTTCGGGAATGCGCTGGCTTTTAGGCGCCTTGGTTACTCGCTGGAGTCAATGGGGTCTGAGCCGCTTCAGGGCAGGTTCACACGTGCACGCTACACCGATTCCTCGTGCCTGATTTGGTGAGCAGCCTCTGCTGAAAAGCGCGGCCATTCTCAAGAAGGCGCGCTTCAAATGCGTTCAGGATCCCGGCTTGCGAGCGCTTCATTGGTGAGATCAGAGATCATCTGACTCTGATACAGGGGCGGCTTATTCTGGCCACACTCGTTTGCTACTGGTCCTTTGAGAAAAGCACAAGCTGAAGACGTCTCCTGATTAGGAAGCGCAACTAACCTCCTCTCCTCTCTCCCCCTCCTTGGCCCCCACCGCCTTTTCCTGCCCCTCAATGAACGGCTGATGGTTTGTTTCTTACCTGTCATATTGATACTGACTGAGCGTGTGGTCGTATGGATAGTATGCAGCCGCCTGGGTGATTCCCGCATGCGCAGATCCGCTCCCATCCTTCGAATCAAAGCTGTTCTGGAACAGGAAAAGCAAAGGCGTCTTCTTATCAGCGCTCCCCTCCCCCACGGGCAGTGCGGGTGGGGGAGGGGGCAGGAGGGGAGACACGCGCAAATGGGCACGTTTTTATTTATTTTTGCAATGGAGAAACACGTCGAGGAGCAAAAAACAAAAACAAAAATTCCTCTAGCACATTTTCAAAGCTAAACAGGATCCGGCTTGATTTCAAATGGGATGGGAGGCCACGTGTTGAGATTCCTGCATCGCAGGGGGTTGGGATAGATGACCCTCGGGTCCCTTCCGACTCTTCACTTCTGTGATTCTATCAGGGGGTTAAACTGTTTAGGCTGCAAACTTGGGCACATGTCCCACTGAACTCAGTACAACTTACTTCCGAGTAGACTGGCATAGATTGTATTTCAGTATTTCTTCAATTCCTGTATACTGGACTTGCACTTAATTGGAGAGGAACATGAAGTTCCTTGTACTCTTGTCCACTGACTCAGTGTTAGCATCTCTTGGCCCGATTTGGTGCACGTTGACTCAGAGGAAACCTTATCTTCCTGCAATGGAATTTACTCACAGGAAAGCTGGTTTAGCCTCTGCAGTCCACTGGAGTCCAGTGCTTTCCTTCATCCGACTAAGAATGGTATTTTATGCACACTGGGCTCCAAGAACAAGTGACTAGGGATAAGCAAGGGTCAAATATCACCTAGAACAGTGATGTCCAAACTTTTTTCCGAAGAGGGCCAGATTTGATGAAGTGAAGGGCCGTGAAAGCCGACCAAAGGGCCGATCGAAGTTGTTAACCTTTAGGATTGAAGTTGTTGAGCTTTTTTTAGGATTGGAGTTTATTGAGGTGCGAAAGTTGAAGTGCTCTCTTAAAACAGGCTGCAATCCTCAATAAACATACTTTCCTAAAAAAAAAAAGAAAAAGAAAAAGAAGGGGGGCAATTGCAATTAATGGGACGATGGGACGTGACTTGTTTGCCACACAGGGAAGTATACGAAAAGTTAATTTCTTAACACAGACATTTTATGCATAATTTTACATTTAAGCATTCGGTGAGCAAACTCGGGTTCCTGTTCCAGTGACAACTCCAGACTCATTTTCTTGGGTCAGTTTCAGTACACAGACAGAGATCAGCAATGCCACGATGTCTTAGCGTTTATCATTTATCTCTAATTAAGTAGCTGGATCGCAGAGATCAGCAGACAATAGTTTCTCAGAGCTTATTACCGTCTATCTCTAATTACATAGTAGTAGGCTGATCTCCGTGTTGTTAGATACCTGAATTAGCAACGCCTATGATTGACTGAAGTTTCTCACAGCCCCGATTCATATTCACTTCGGATTACCCCATGGCACATAGACAGGTTACATAGCCGTTGGCTAATTAAACAACCCATGGCCTTTTAAACTCTCTCTGTGGATTATTGTTATTGTTTGTTCCTACGTTTTTTTATATTGTAAGCCGCCCTGTGCTCCTCGGATGAAAGGCGGCATAGAAATTTAATAAATAAAATAAATAGGAAACATTTTGTGTTTCCTCCAGGTTTGCTTGTACTAGTGATACATCTCTATCTACACCTACACACACGTGAGGATGCACAGCACACACACGTTGCTATTAAAAAGTGCATAACTAGAAATTAAGTCCCTCCCGCTTAACTTGATGAGGTTTACTTGCTTCCTTAATGTCCTTAGGGACTGGGTTGAGCGGTGAAGCTTCTAGCTGAGCTGCGACTCTCTCTGTTTGCTGACTTGGAAGAGCAAAAGTCCCTTGGTAATGGGGCAGTGGGGTTTCCTTCTTGGCCAGTCAATGCGTTCAGGTGGAAGTCGTGCTCGCTGCGCAGACTTACCAAGGAGTAGAAAGCCGACGCCTCCGTCCCGTAGGTCACGTAGTTGCCATAGCCTTGCGTGTTCGTGTAGGGACTCCCATAGACTCCCAGGGCAGCTGCCGAGTTGAGCTCGTGCCTGGCCGTGGCTAGCAGCCTGCTCTCGTACACGGGGCAATAGACGGGGGTCTGAGCCGAGGCTGCCGCCCCAGAGTCCGTGAGGGTCCTGCCGGTGGTCTCACAGCAAGTGGTCAAGGAGTTGGTGGTCATCAGGAACTAGGACGAGAGAAGACAGGGCAATGATCTTAGAAGGGGCAGCTGACAGCCGTGGCAACCAACAGGCCGATCTACCAACCAGTTCTAGCGAAGGCCGTTTTCGGTCCCAAATCAGTGAGGTTTCACACAACCCACTGACTCCCGTGTCCATTGGTTTTAATGAGCATCTCTTCTTCACGTTAATTAATCCGGAACAACCGCCACCCCCTCTATCCGACCTCACAAAGGGCACAAACTCGGGACAGCGCGATCCATCTGTGTTATCACACAGAAGGGTGGTGAAACGCGCGATGAAACGGTCGTCTGAAACCGCCCAGTCACTTGCAGAATCCTCAGCTCCCAAAATGGAGGGGGGGGGGCACCCAGGCCGAATAGCGGAAGGGAAAAGCAGTGGAAGGAAGAAGGAAGTGGCTGCAATCCTATACACGTTTACCTGGGAGCAAGTCCCATTGTGCTCAATGGGGCCGACTTCTGAATAGACCTGCATGGGATTGCGCCGTTAGTGATCTTAAATAAGTACCTTATATATTATGTTAAACCCAGTGGCTTAACTGGTTTGTGGATCGGGGAGAAATTTAAAGATCGGTTGGGGAGGGGGGGAACCTATTTCCAGTTCACACTTGTCAACTAAAGAGAAAAAGAGAGAGAGAGAGAAAGAAAATACTTTTCAGTTTTTAATGCATTCTTCCGGCGAGCTAGACCGCTCACATTAACATTAATACATACATCCGTCTCGGTTCTAGAACACGTTTATTTCCGAGTAAAAGTACTGAGAATGTTAATGAAGTTTAATCCCAGATCCTTCGGGGAGAGCTAATTGAACATTTCTTTTAACTGCAGATTCCAACACCCACTTCTGTCCCAGAAGTTCGGTCCTGCTCTCTTTTAAGGGTACGATCCAGAAAGGAGTTGAGCCGAGGCCTCAGCTGATACAGGGCCCCTGACTGCAGCGACCTCGCACCCCACCCAAGTTCCTGGTAAACGAAGTGGCCCGTGAATCTGGCTTGAACCGGCCAGTTGTTGTGGTTGTTGAATCGGCTTCCATCCACCCGCTTACTTCAGAGTAGGTCCGCGGACCAGGGGGAACGAGCTGCTTCCTTCTTATCCCTTGCCCCAGTTCACCTCTTGGCAGTAAGTAAAACCCTCTGAGATCAATGAACACCTGAGATCTTTCCGTCTTCAGCGCTCTGCGGGAGTAATTTGTGGCAGGCTAGCTAGCACCCCTCTGAAACTAGAGACCTTCCAAATCTCAGGACGGGGCTCTCCAACCCAATCCTAAACGATACCCCGCCCCTTGACTCCAATTTAACTCCCCACCTCTCACTGTTAACATTCTCACTCTAGGTCAAGGTCCCTCCGAAGTAAGCCTCGATGAATCCAGGACAGGTGGACTTTTTAAACCAGTTCGTGGTTAGAGCACCGCAGAATTAGGATACCAAGGCGACAGTCTCCCTTTTACCTGGAAGTAAGTGCCTTTGGTTTCACGGGGGCCTTACTTCCGCGTAAAGATGGCAGTCACTGCTCTTGGGGAAGGGGGGGTCATCCCTTCCCCCAGCCCCCAGTTGATCTGAAGCAGATTAGGTCCCTACAAAAGCGCCTCCCAGGAGATGGGAGTTCTCCCGCGCGCCTTCACAGGGGAGGGCAGTGAAAGGAAAGGGCGTAGATGCGATGGGAGTCCGGCAGGACTTACCTGGGGTGCAGACGAGTAGGGGTATCCGAACTGGGGGTAGGACATGGCCACGGGGGGCTCCCAGGCTCCAGGAACAACCAGGAGAGGCGCTGGATCCGCGAGCTTCGCAGGCTGCCTCGCTGCGCCGTGTGGCCCCGAGTGATGGATAATCCGAGCTTCCTAGGGGCTTAGAGGACCAAGCATAAAACCATCTTGAATTCATCTGCCTTGAACCTGAAACTATTTTTTAGTGTGTGTGTGTTGGGGGGGGAGTTTGTCTTCCCTCCCCCGCACAACACACACACGCACACAACTCGCGATCTTAAAAAGATCTGCCTAGGCAGCGTGGCGCTTCTTCAACGCGAACAACATAAAAGGCACGGTTGCTCTGAGGTTTCATGGGGGAAAAATACATATTTTGCCCACACACAGGCAGCGGCGGAGGGAGGGGAAGAGAACCACTCCTAGCTGAAACACACATGTCAAATCAAACATCTGACGTCAAGAAGAAGAAAAAACAAACCCTACAGAAACTGCCTCTCGCTCGCATATTTGTGTGCACCTTTGTGGTAGACCACGGCCTGGAATTTAAACCAAATACCCAGGATGAAAGTTTGTTTCCCAACGCCTCGGAGCACGCTGGCTGATCGCTATTTCAGGGAGTTCTCCTGCGCTGATAAGGAAAGCGAACCCCAAACGTACAAAATGGCAAGGTCCTGAGTGGCTCATAACTGCATCTCAGATATCAATAGTTTGTAGAGGCGAAATCAGTGTCCTCTCTCTCTCTCTCTCCCTCCCCCCCCCCGAATCACTGAAGGGTGGTCAGCACTTTTAATTAGAAATTAATTAATGAGCAGCTGCCTGCTGCTTCCTCCCACTCCTCCCTGCCCTGCAGTCATCAGTCCCACTTACAAACGAGGCCGCTGGAAGGGCAGGCGCGCAAGCGAGGCTTTTAAATCAACAGTTGAAACGAGCTCCGGAGCTGACAGTCAAAGCACGTGGAGAAGGACGAAGCCCCGCCACCAAAGTGCATGTTAGGAAAGGGCAAGGAATGGGCATTTGCGCTGAATGGGCATTTTAGGCTTTAACAACTTTTTGGGGTGGGGAGATATGGGAAACCAAAGTGAGGAGGCGCCACAACTTTGAATAAACTTCAGGCCATTGAGTGGCAGGGAGAGAGTGATCTTCAAACTCAGGCCAGATCTGATTTGCAAAGAGAGAGCATCTATCCATACTCAAAACAACAGCTGACATTCGTACAGCATTGTGCAATCTTCAAACTACTTCGCATGCATTATCTCAGGAATCCTTACAAGAGCAACGCAAAACTGAGTGTTTCCAGGTACTTAAAAAAAAAAAAATGGGGCACGGGTCCAAATTTACATTAAAATTGCATATGCTAACTTAAATGGCTATGTGCAGCTATAGACAGCAAAGTCAACTAATTTCTCATCCAAGCCACTCTAGTTAAAAAATCCAGTTAACTGGTACCCATTTCAGATGTGTTCCTCTTTAATTCATTTAACTAGTAGTAAAGTGAATTTCCCAACAGATCCTGGTTCAAATCAAATCAATTAAGCGCCCCTTCAGTTATCCTATTTCATTACCTCCAACTCATCTTAAGAGAAAGTCATCTTCAACTGATGTAGTTCCCCAATTTTACACCCTTATACCTCGAATTAATGTCAATTAAGACCAACCTTTTCATTTCCCCCTGAATTTATTATCCACTAGAAACACTTGGGGCATGGAGAAAAAGATCTGGGATCTGAGATACTTAGGCTCACCACTAGCTACAGCCTGGTCAGTATCCTGGTCTTGCAGTGTAGGACTGATCCTGAGACGGTAGTTGGCCTAAAACCTCTTAGCAAGTTCATAGGGGAGGGGATTTTCTGGTTCATAGTCTGTTTTCCCCACTACCTGTGCTAAGGTAACTCTCAAACTCTCTCTTAATGGTTTTGATTTTTTGTTGTGTGGGAATATACAAGTTTTCTAGGTAGGTAGAATATGAAAACTAGTTCATATTTTTTAAATCAGGAGGCTGACCAAAGAATACCACCCCAATTGTAGCTGTGATTTCCTGGAATAAATATGGCTCCCCATATTGTCAAGCACTCTACCCTTCCTCTGGTGTGCCCTCTCCCACATGTCCAATGATCCCCTCAGATCTCTGACAGAGAAACAATAAATCAGCTTTGTCCCACCTGGCTTTCAGTCCTTAATTTAAGCCACATTTTCCTGAGTGGCAGCACAGAAATAGATGAAATAAACGTGGTTCCCTCTCTGTGTCCTACAGATTCACTACCTGTGACCATCCAACTTTCATACAGTTTTATCAAACTGTGCCCCTTTCTTTCAATGTCCAGCTGGTATCCATTAGCTCCCCAGAATCCCAATGTCCAAGAGTCGCTAGTTTATATTATAACATGAGATCATAGGACAGCACTACCTCTCTTTAAAACAAACTCTGATATTTGACCAGAGATTCTGTTTGAGAGCAGAAGGCAGAACTAGGCCTTTCCTTAGTCTCTCCCTTTTTGCTCCTTTGGATTATCTCTGGCCTCTTGTCCAAGATACATTCACAACAAGCCCTTTAAACTTCACATGAATTGGTCAAGAATAGTCATCACTCCCACTTTTGAACTGGAAGAGAGGGGAGGGAGAAAAATCTACCTTTCCTGAAAGTATGCGTAAAGTGTTTTAAGAGGTGGCTAATTTACTATGTGATCTGTGTATACACTCTTATTTCATTTTATGACTACAAATATAAGACTACATCAGAAAGTCATTTTCTTGGAGACTTATTAAACTGTAGATCGCAGATTTCTGCCAAAGCCTCTTGTTAGACCTTTTTATCCTACTAGGGAAGTTTAAGTGTTTAATGGGAGTGGTGCTTTAAATGTTTAATGAGAATGATATTTGGTCTTTCTTGATTTCTGTCTCTCGTTGTTAGCCCAAGTCGCCAGCACCATCGCTGGAAGGAGCAATGCACATTTCATTGATGTTAGTAGCAAAACGCCAATTAATTTTAATGGAGCTGGAATTTCTGCAATGCTGAGTGCTGTCTAGGGCTCAAAGGCCCATCCTCGATTCTTCAGGCAAGTCGGGGATCTCTCATTCTCAGTTTGTGATCCTAAACATTTGGATCCTTAAAGACTTTTCTGTAGTCTTCCTTCTAAGTGAACATGCTGGCCTTATCTGGAAAGAGCTAAATGCTCAGTAGGATGGTTTCAGATACTGCCATCAGTAAAGTGGGATTAACAGAATACAGTATTCTGGATGAAGGAACAAGGTAAAATCAGAAAGAATTTGGTACTTCAGAAGGTTCACCACAAAGATGAAAACTGCATTCACAAGGCAAATACGCTGCAAATGAAGTTTTGTTTGAACTCGCTTCCCATTTATGGAAGTGGGTTGCATGGAGGGTCATGGAAGCCCTAGGTGAAACCTATGAAAAGTATAGGACCCTATGCAAACTCTTGAGGGTTTGGCTAGGCTGAAGGTCTCTCTCTTCCTCTCCCCAGGATATTAATCATATGTCCCATTTAGAGAGTAGGCCAGGATATAAATTCAGCAAAAATGTTCGCTTTGAAGACAGTTCCAGTGTGATTGACTTCCAGCATGTTTATTAATCCTAAAGGATTAATTTACTTATAGTATCACTCTACTTAAATTCTAGTTCTGACCATAAAACAGCAGGGGATATCCAGCAGCAGTCATACTCAGGGTAGAAGTCCACTGACTTCAATGGATCTACAATATGACTGCCATTGGATATACCCAGGAAATCTATTTTTTGAAAGTAAGTGATTTCAGGGGGATGAGCAAAAAGATTCTTTTTAATCATTTTTCTCAAGGTGAGAGTAGACTCTTACCCTCCTTAGTAACTCCCGCTAAATTCAGAGGAGCTTTTACTTTGGGTTAAAAGAGAGACGCTCTTATTAATAAGTTGGCATACCATTACTACTGGTTGCACCACCCCTATCAGTCCCCTTCACCTTGTCACCTTTATCTAGGCCTCTCCTGGTAAGTCCAGTACATATAATTTTCCTCCAGGACCTTTTGTGTATGTGTTTGTATTGGGGAGCGGGGAGGGTAGGGGATATAGAAAAACCTCAACCTCTGAAAATCGGGATACTCTGCCTAGAGAGGAACTTGCAGTGGGGAAGCTAGCCAGACCCAGGGCGGGCGAGTTTCTGTGCGTATTTGCGCGCGTGGAGAGGGGAGGGCAGCTGTGGCGGGGGAGGGAGGGATGAAAGGAGTGCAGACTTGCTCGGAGAGCTGCCTGGGTTCAGACATGTGAATAGCCCCAGGGTCACACTCTAATTAATGATGATGTTCCCTTCTTCTCCCCAGCTGGAAGACTTGGTGCCTCCCAGGGACGAATCTGCCCGCTCTGACAGCTCGATTGAGGGTGATGGATGACTATCTGGAGACCGCAGTACACCTAATATAATCATATCTGCTGCGTAATTGCTATAATTTACCGAGGCAAAGCCTTGGCTCTAGGAGGAGCGCGTTAGAAGGCACCAAAGGAGCTCAGAAGCCCCTTCAAAAGAGAGGGCCACCCTGAACCTAGTTTAAGCGCGTTTACCTGGGAGTAAGAGGCACAAGGGATGTCTTCAGATTACCTCTGCTAGTTCCCTGGAACTTTGGTGAGACACTGGGCTCATCCATCCTGTCCTTTGATGTGGATAGTATGAGGGAAGGGAAAGTCTGGGAAGGGAGTGATTTTGAGGAGAGCGTCATACGGGCAGTGGAGAATGAATGGAGGTTTTGGAAACTTAACCAGTCACATTAAACGACGACCACCCCTTTCCACTCGCATTATATGTTTACTCAAATGAACAGGCCCTACTTCCAAGGAAGAGCCCAATTCCACGTGTGTGGTTTTTTAAACTTTAAAGCAAGTCCCACTATGGTTGTCAGGAACTGAGACCAAACTGGGGAGGAAAGAGTTAACATCCTCTTACCCCCCCCCCCCAGGCTTCTGTTATCTCTCTCCGCTCCGCCTGCGGCTTTTAAATGAAAATAAATACATCTAGCACATGTCCAAACACAGATGTATCGCGCGCAATATGTGGGGTGTCCCACCCTCTAGCCCGCAAACAGGGTTGTGATCCTGCGCACGCTTGTCACGGAGTCAAGTCCACTTCTGGGAAGCTATGACCAGAGTTGCACTGTAAAGTTTATTTGGGTAGATCTGGAGGTCGCAACACACATGGGTGGAAGTTTCGCGGAAGGAGACATAAGACTGCAGCGGTTGTATAATATTTGCAGGGCGTATAAGCGTATCAGACCCCAGGAATCTCCGGCACGCAGATCACTTAAAGCGGCTGAGCGGTTCATGGCGGCAGCTCCAGTAGTTTAGGGATCGCAGACGCTTTACAAATAAAGGCATGGGGGGGCGGGGGGGGCTGCTTCATGGGCAGGCTGTGATATTAATTTCTTCCCCCCACCGGCTGCATTGCTAAAACTGTTTCTTCTGCTCGTAGCCTGCCTGTAGTTGATGAAGGAGCCATCCAACCAGCCAAGTGGATGGAGGAACCCTCTTTCAGAAACGAAAGCCAAAGTTTGCAAGTACTTCGTGGAGACTGGGGATGGTGGCAGCTGCAGGTCTAGCCAGGCTTACTCAGAAGGCACAACCCCAGTCGATGGAAGTCACTTCTAAGGAAATCAGCTTTAGAGGCCGTGGTCCTAAGCAGGATGCAATTCTGTGCTCGTTTACCTGGGAATAAGACTTACCGAAACTCAATGGGACTTACTTCCGAGTAGACCCGCTTTTAAAAAAATAAATAAATGATTGCACGAGGACCATCTCTGAAGATAAAGGGAAACCCGAGAGCCACGCAGCCCATACATTGCAGGTATACAATACCAGGAGGTGGGGGTGGGGGTGTTTACTGCAACACGCAGGCGCGTCGCCCTCCAGGGGACGGGGGCGGGGTGCAGCCTCCCAGATCTCCAAAGGAGTTCAGCGTTAAACGTTGCAATTAGCTGACTGAGGCAGACAACTTTTACAGAGGATGGTGCAATGTTTTTTTCTCCCCCCCCCCTTCCGCCAAACCGCAACGTTGGAAATCCATCTTCACACACACACACACACACACACACACACACACGCCTTTTTCAAATACTCAAACAATTCCGCCGGGATCACCCCTCACTGGCAGACGGAGCAAAGAAGTTTCTCGCCCGTTTCTGGATCCATAACATAGCCTCTCCACCACGATCCATGCCATCCTATCCCGCTTCTAGTCGAAATTTCCTCCCTGGGACCGTTTGAACTGCAATCCTTTATCCACAGTAAACGCAGCAAGTTTAGGATCGCGCTGTTGGTTAGGTGCTCAGTAGAAATCAATGCGTTTTCCCTTTCTAGGGACTTCCATAGCGTTCTACTACAAAGTCATGGTGGGTTGCTAACTACTCGCCCTCACCCTTGACTTCGGAGTAACAGCACGATCCGTGCTGATTGACTTGGGAATGTGTCTAATTAGGTGCAGTGGCGCCCCCCTCCCCGCCCCGGTAAGTATCCGTAGGATTGCAACTTTAGGTTTGTATCCTGAAGCACGCTTCCTTGGAAGTTCAGGCGTTGGAATGAACGAGTCTCGTGCCCGAATAAACACGCGCAAGGTCGGCAGGACTGGCTTCAACGCGCCTAACAGCAGGGTGCATGGCTCCAGTGCCACACACTGGAAGTCAGCCCCCAAGAACAAAGTGGGATCATGATTCCCTCGAGTCCCTGAAATAGTTCTCCCCCATACAGCCTAAGCTCCCCTCTCCTCCAGCAAACACCACGCCAAGCGCTGCCCTGTTTCCAGGCTCCTCATAAATCTGTGTGAGGGAGGTGAGTTTTCTCGCAAACGCCCCACTTTAGGAGGAAAGGCATTCGGATGAATTTCATCATCTCCCCATTCAGCATCTAAGCTAGAAAGTAACAGTGTCCTAAAGGCAGTCCCAGCATTTAGCAGCGTACCTCGCTCACGAAGAGATCCAGGGACGGGAGTCTGAGCGCTATCCTGTGGAAAACAACAACTTTTGCGCATAAGTCAACAAGCTGGCTTCTACAGTAACAGGGAGCAGCCAGAGCGAAGCCCTTCTTTTGCCAAAGAGACCACCCAGCGCAATTCTCATAACACAGCTCCCAAAATCAGAATGAGTGGGTGCTATTTCTTGAAAAACAACAGCAGCAGCAGCAGCAACAAATACGCAGCGTAGCAGAGCGAAGTGTGCAGCGTCTTCAGGGTTTAAATCTCTGCACATTTTTTTCATCGTTCTTCTCCAAGAAACTAAAGCCAATGTCTGGTTGGTTTGTTTTTTTAATCCTCCCCAAGAAAACTTGTAAGAAAGAGAAGTGCAGGAGCAGGCCCTAGCAGGTTAGGTAGCTGCTCTGATTGAGGTCGGCAGGAAATTGATCTGGACACGTTTTGAGCAGTTAGAGAAACCATCGGGTTATTTTTGCCCTAAATTTCTCTGCCTGAATGGCCCAGGACTAACCACTTCCTCTGGTTCCGAATTTACAATTTCTTAAGACACCCATGATAAGGAAAGAATCCGCCGCATCTTCGCCCCCAACCCCTACAAACACCCCTCCCTCAGCCAGCACCCAAAAAGCGAATAAACTAAGTTGCACTCCTGCGCATATTAACTTGGAGGCGAATCCCAAATAAAAGGAGTGGGACTTCCTCCCGTAACCACGGTTTGGATCGGGCCAGAAGGGTGTTAAAGAATCTGGAGCCCGCGACCTTGGAAAAACCTTTCCCAACGCTTTGGACTTCGGAGCTAGCGGCGCTTCTCCAGCTTTCATGTTTGTAGAATGGATGAAAAAGCGTAAACTAGAAAATTGAGGGTATCTCCTTGCCGGCGACCTCACCAAACCTGACACTGGACTTGAACTAGCCAGAGACCTTCAGAGGGTCTAGGATCAACCAGTGCGTGTGGACAAACTGGTTTTAGACAGGCGCCTGGTCAGACCTAACACAGAAGCCCCAACCCCTTATTTTCACGCAAATATCCTCACGGACGTTTTTTACCGTTTTATTCTCCCGGCCTGGCTAATAACCAAGGCGAATTTACTCCTGTTACCAACAACAACTAATCAATGGGATTCATTTGCCAATGTGTTTGGCTCCCCCCATTAAATCCCCCCCCCTTTTCTTCGACTTACAGTAAGGAATCTGTGGCGCTTCTCCAAAAACACCTCCCCAGAGGACCAGGTTAGAAGGAAGACCCACCCAGTTCTTGTCAGCGCCGGAATCTTTGCAGTCGTAGCCCAAAGCTGTGAAACCGGAGATTTTAAAAGTGTGTCGTCGAACATGTGCAGAGTGCCTTGCAGTCACTCCTGAACTATGCACAACAACACGATTGGGATGGGAGGGGGGAGGTGACAGAGTTTTCGGGCTCGATTTCTAATAAGCCCCACTTCTCAGGCTAGAAACTGTGTCTGAAATCCTGTACCCACTTGGCTGCGACTCCGCCGCGTTGAACTCCTACGCAGTAAACTCCTACGCAGTAAACAAGTACAGGATTGCACCGAGCAGCGCCGAGTTTACAGAAGCGATTTAAAGCAACCCCCCCCCCCGCCAAACAGAGGAACTTTACACCCGCACTTCCTTCATAGGGGTGCCCTCCCCGCGCCTTCACGGTCCTCCAAGCTTGGGCTCCTTTTCCATGTCCACCAAACTTTCTTGGCCAACGCAGCCTCCCTGCCCAAAGTCTCCTAGAGCAACCGACCAAAGTTGCACTCTATGCATGACCGCGAACACCCTTTCCCTTTCCCCATCCCCGCGCCGAGAAGAGAAAAAGCATGTGTGTAAGGCGGCTTTCCTCTCAGCCCTAGGTAAACACTGCCCAAGCCGCATGATGGATCGCCCGTAGTTTCTCTTCCATAGGCAGCCCGAGATTTCCCAGCCGGCTGGCTGTAGAAGGCAGGCTATTGTTGGGGTGCGCGTGGATGGATGGATGCATAGATGGGCGGAAAGGAAGCCGGGGTGCAAGTGCACCGCCAGCAAGGAAGTGCCTCTCTTTCTTGTTACCTGCAATCACGCCGGGCTGCGCCTAGGATCTCCTGGCGAGAGCTTGTCCATGGCAAAGGGTGGCCGCGTCTTTTCGCCTCGCTCGCAGCGGCTCGCTTTGGAGAGAGCAGCAGCCACAGCAGCGCGCTAATGGAGACATTGCTCAGTGTATGGAATACCTGACTGGAGTCAGTCCGACGAGTGAGTGCCTCCAGTCCCCAGGCGCCACAGTCACTTCACTAACCCCCTGCACCGGAGTGACGTTCGAGTGCAGAGCTGCGCTTACCGCGCGCCTTTTCCTCCTCCTGATTAACACTTTCCAACGCTGCCCTCGCCCGCTCGCGCGCTGCTGCTGCTGCTGCTGCTGCTGCTACACCGCCCCCCCCCCCGCTCGCAACTTGCGCTGCTGGCCGCTGCCTGCGCAGGTCACAGCTCCGCCGGTTCGAGTCCGGAGGGAGGGCAGTCCTCTTGCATCCCTAAGACCAGCAAACGCGCTCTTTAAAAACCAGGCGCCACATTTCTATAGCTCTTTAGATTATCTTCCAAGTTCTTCAGAACCGTCGTCGTAGTAGCTATCCCCTTACAGCAACCCTGGAAGGTAGGTCGATTACCTGCGGATGGAGGTGGGGGGCGGGAAAGAGAATCACCGAGGCTTGTCATCAAACACTAGTTGGGGGCTGAGATGAGATCTGAACCCGGGGCTTCCTAGATCACTGCCCACTTTTTTAGCAACTATGCTACAACTGCTCATTGGGTCATTTCTGCAGCACTTTCATTGTCCAAAGCTATTTCTGACCCATTTCCAGCGTAGCATTATTTGGGACCCATTTCCACAGGGAGCCACGACTGGGAAAGATGCTCACACCCTGTGCTCCTGGCAACCAAGAAGCTGACAACAGTATCAAAATTTGTGAAAACCATTTAGCCTTATAGTGCAATCTCATGCAAATCTATTAGGTCAGTTCCACTGAGTTCAATGGGATTGAAATGCAATTCAGTAAATGCCCACTGAATTGCAACCTTGCAACATAGACCTAGGTATCTTTACTCAGAAGTAAGCCTCACTGTGTTCAGTGGTGCTTACTCCTAGATATGTGTGCCTAGGATTGCAGATTTATAGTGTTATTCTCTAAGTTGTCTACTCAGAAGTAAGTCCCACTGAGTTCATGAGATTTACTTCCAGGTAAATTAGCACAGGACTGCACCCTTAATCTTATTCCAACCCTCCGAGCACTGTCCAGATTTGATTTACTTCCTTTCCTCCTAATGGGCAATTAGGTTGGGCCATACAACACACATCCCCCAGTCTGAAGTTGCCAAAGTCCGTTCTTCTAGCACACCAGGTGGATGTGGAATCTTCAATTTAAAATCTATCCAGAAGGATTATTTCATTCAGGGTCCAGATCCCACTTACATGGGAAGTTCCTCAGCTTTGGAAGGAACAGGAAGAAAGTTGATTGGACCCAGAAAAGCCTATGCTGAGGAGCAGAAAGATGGAACACTAAAAACAGATCCACAGGGGCAGGAGGAGGCCTGGAAATAAAGACCTTATATCTAATGCCTTTATATGTTGGGAGGAAGATAAGAAATTACCCCGGGGATTTGAATGCTGTTCTTTATTTGTGCTTGGGCGGTTCGCGCAGTTGAAATATACCTATATACCAGAAACACACTGCGGTCCAGTTGATGCATTCTGTAGAATTAAATGGCAAAGCTCTTCCTGGCCTATATCACTGCAAAGGAAACTCCATCTTAGGAAGAAAGAACCTACTTCCAGATTCAAAACAAGCAGACGAGGGAGAAGAATGCAGCCTAGGAGTCTTCCTCAAGCGCACTCCCCACTGCTGCCTTTGAAAATCGCAATGCTTAACAAAGTAGTTCAATCCAAAGGGAACGAAAGCTTTGGCCACATGATTCTGCCTGCTGAAACTATAAACAGGAGTGAAGTATGTGCTGGCTGGCTAATAACAGTTCCCTGATTTTAAGGGGTTTGCCATAATCAAGGCCATGGTTGCCAAAGCCACGTAACAGGGGTGAATTCAGCAGAAAGCAAGGCAGCTACAAGCCAAATGACCTTGTGAATGGCTACCTCTGAATTAATGGCCCCGCTTACCTTTACAGTGGTACCTCGGGTTAAGTACTTAATTCGTTCTGGAGGTCCGTACTTAACCTGAAACTGTTCTTAACCTGAAGCACCACTTTAGCTAATGGGGCCTCCTGCTGCCGCCGCGCTGCCGGAGCACAATTTCTGTTCTCATCCTGAAGCAAAGTTCTTAACCTGAAGCACTATTTCTGGGTTAGCGGAGTGTGTAACCTGAAGCGTATGTAACCTAAAGCGTATGTAACCCGAGGTGCCACTGTACTTGAAGGGAGCACTACTTATTTCAATCACACTCACTTCTGAGAATTTCCAAAGGCCGGTTTTTGCAAGAGGCTGTGCGAGTCTCTTGAAGCAAAAACCACAGAGAGTCCTGTGGCACCTTCAAGACTAACACATTGATTATGGGATAAGCTTTCATGGAATCCGGCCCGTTTCCCACCCCGCAGGATATATGCACCTGCAACTCAGGATAACACTTCGTGCATATGATGAAGTGGACTGCACTCCACAAAAGCTTATGCCATAATGAATTTACTTTTGAATAAATCGGCTTAGAACGGCCGCCTTTATTGTGGAATTGAGCCTTCGTATCGCTGTAATCCCTGCAACCTGCTAAAGTCTTTAAAGCTGTTGCTGGTGTATACTTCTGAGTAGAAGGGCAAACAACTTTTTACAGGCTGATCCTAAAAACATTTACCGGTACTTGGAAATAAGCTTTCTGGCCTTCTACAAACCTTACTTCCAAAGATCAAGTTGCTTTGCCTTTCTCGTTGCCTGTTACATTTAAAGGTGGAGGAGCAAGAGAGAAAGTCAGGGATATCAGTTGTTTGGACTGGTGATATTCAGAATTGTAAACTCACTCGAAGGCCTATTACAGTCAGAAGTGTGGACTGGAACTTTTCAAAAGAAAAAAAATAGTTACAGTTTGTATCATTGCACGTTATGGTATATGAAATATGAAAAAATACTTTATATTTATATAGCACTTTAAGATTTCCAAAGTGTTTCACAGACAAAATCTCTGTAATCCTTACAAGGAATCCTTTAATGTAGGCCAGTAGAATTACAGTATTTCCATATTGCAACATGGGTGAGACTTCACTCCCTTTTCTGCTTGAAGAATGAAGGAGCAGACACTTCATATTTTGAAACTTTAATTCCTGTTCCTGAACTCAGACTTGACAGTCTGCAGCCTGTATTCTAGCACTGACATTGGAGTTTAATCACCATCTGCCCACAAGTAAGGCAAACCTCCAAGTTTTCTGCTGAATCAAATCCAGGAGTTTCATTGTGAAATCTGAAGATAAAATGTTAGAAATTCAGAATCAGAAACTTAAACAAGAATCCCAAATGAAAAATTCACACAGTTTACAAAGTTGTATGGTGACAAAGAAGGCTAGCTCTGTTAGCTCATCAATCTTCCTATTTTAAACATAGAAGCCTTGTAACTCATACAAAATGTGTGTGATGAGGAGGGGAAGAAGGAGGACAGTTCAAGAAAAAATAATCTAGCCCTGAAGTAGTGCAATTGCTTAAACAGCAGGAGTGAAGTCGAGCTTGTTTAGGGCATGAGGAGTAAGTGAGTAAGCCAATCTTCATCACCCTTGCACTCTCCAGATGTTTTAGACTACAACTTCCAGCAGCTGCACATCTGGAGTGCATTCAGGTTGGCGAAGGCCGAAATAAGTCATCAAATTTCCACTGCATCTATTTGAGTTCCCTTGTGGTTTTGGTACACTGCTTCTTGCTCATCTCCAAATAGCAACATTGAGTCTAATGTACAAGGACCTGCAATGGGGGACGCTTCTTCTTCCTCGCGCTGAATTCATGACGTGATGTTGCAAGGACTGAAATACATTAGAAAGCCCTTCAGGGCTTTCAGAGTGAAAGGAAAGTTATTAATTTGAATTCTGGCAGCGCATATATTTAAATATTAACTATTTACCTGGCACTGACCTGCATTTATCCAGACCTGCAGTTGTACAGAACCATTGCAGAGCTTTTAAAAATGGGAAGAGGGTTAGGGGGAACACAGAGTATTGCGTGTTCTGGCCACTTTCCCAGTGAGACCAGAGCTCCCTTTCTTTAATGCAGCCATTTGAAAGATTTTGAGATGGAAATTCAGCATATAGATCCTTCAGAAAGTTCTGGGCTGTGGTTTTTGAACAGAAAACTCCAGTTCACGCACATGGAATATATCTTAGATTAGAAGCAACCACGTGTGAGAAAAAGCTCATGGTTTCTTACCTCACTGCAAAGCAACATGCCGAGGGAACAGTTTGGAGCAGAGAAATGACAGGGGAAAGGGGTGTTTAATTTGTGAAACCTCAAGCGGGGAGGAGTAGCTTGGAAAGGGGCAACACAGGAAGGCAGGGCAGGATTAGAACCTGAATTGATGCTCCTTGTTTTTTATTGCCCCCTCTTGATGCTGCATTTTTCTCAAAGAACTGGCTGCTAAGAAGGTCTATTACCGGTAGTTATTTATTTATTGCATTTACTTTATATCCCGCCTTTCTCTCCCAGTGAGAAAAGGGCACCTACCCCTTACCCCTAATCTCTCATTGTTCTTTGGACAAGAAATATGATGCTCAGGGGCTGAAGTGGTTGGCATTTCTGTTCCAGAATAATTTATATATCCTTCGTGGGAGTCCTGCAGATGTTTTGAAGGGTTGGTGTATGTATTTGAACAAAAATAGTAGAAGTGCTGTCAACCACATTATAGTGTCATTGTCCACCTTTGTGAACACCTGTGAAATGTTAGAAAGAACAGAAAGAGACCACTTTCCAGTACAGTGGTACCTCGGGTTAAGAACTTAATTCATTCTGGAGGTCTGTTCTTAACCTGAAACTGTTCTTAACCTGAAGCACCACTTTAGCTAATGGGGCCTCCTGCTGCCACCATGCTGCTGCCGCACAATTTCTGTTCTCATCCTGAAGCAACCATTCTCCCGACTGTTTTCTAAAGAAAGCTCTGCGTAGAATGGGTTGAATCTGGACTTAGTCATACATAGAGTAAACTCACTAAAGTCTGTAGGAATTAAGATAGTCCTCAAGACTGACAATCCCAATTGATTTCAATGGGTCTACTCTAAGGCTGTACAGTGGTACCTCGGGTTAAGTACTTAATTCGTTCCGGAGGTCCGTTCTTAACCTGAAACTGTTCTTAACCTGAAGCACCACTTTAGCTAATGGGAATGGGGCCTCCTGCTGCCGCTGTGCCACCACAGCACGATTTCTGTTCTCATTCTGAAGCAAAGTTCTTAACCTGAGGTACTATTTATGGGTTAGCGGAGTCTGTAACCTGAAGTGTATGTAACCTGAAGTGTCTGTAACCCGAGGTACCACTGTATACACATTGTACCTTTACAGCACATTTAAAACACATTCTTTACCTCAGAGAATTCTGGGAACTGTAGTTCACCCCCCCCCAGTTACAATTCCCAGCAGCCCTTAAAAAACTGCAGTGCTCTTAAATCATTGAAGGGAAAGAATGTGCTTTAAAGGTTTAGTGTGTACACAGCCTTAGTAATTCTGGGTGAATTACTTTGTTTGGAATGTAACCGGTCATATAAATGAATGAAACTCAGTTATCCTAGTGTAGATCCTTACGTGGCCATAAGATGGTGGGAACTGAACCTGAGACATTAGACGCACAAGCCATTTGCTCTTCAACTGAGTGATGGGGTACATATGGAATTGCAAGGCTGTAGCTCATCCACTGCAATGAGAACTTGAGAAATCAATCCATGGAGTCAATGGGATCTCCTCTCAGTATGACTAAGTATGGATCCATCCTAGTTGCATAGCCTGATGAAAGAAATGCACATCACCACCTTTGTCTTAGCCAGAAGCCCACAACCATTTGCATGTTGTTGTTGTTTAGTTGTTTAGTCGTGTCTGACTCTTCGTGACCCCATGGACCAGAGTACGCCAGGCACTTCTGTCTTCCACTGCCTCCCGCAGTTTGTTCAAACTCATGCTGGTAGCTTCGAGAACACTGTCCAGCCATCTTGTCCTCTGTCGTCCCCTTCTCCTTCCCAGCACAGGGACTTTTCCAGGGAGTCTTCTCTTCTCATGAGGTGGCCAAAGTATTGGAGCCTCAGCTTCACGATCTGTCCTTCCAGTGAGCACTCAGGGCTGATTTCCTTCAGAATGGAGAGGTTTGATCTTCTTGCAGTCCATGTGGCTCTCAAGAGTCTCCTCCAGCACCATAATTCAAAAGCATCAATTCTTTGGCGATCAGCCTTCTTTATGGTCCAGCTCTCACTTCCATACATCACTACTGGGAAAACCATAGCTTTTACTATACGGACCTTTGTTGGCAAGGTGATGTCTCTACTTGAAGCAGGAACCGGCAAGCCACTTCAGTATCCCTCCCAAGAAAACTCTGTGGACAAAGACAACAAACCATCTGCATACTTATTCCTGAATAAACATACATACGGTCAGGCTGCAAGCATTCATTCATTAAAAATGATGTTTTAATGTATTTTAATCTTTTGTTGGAAGTCACCCAGAGTGGCTGGGGAAACCCAGCCTGATGGGTGGGGTATAAATAACGAATTATTATTATTATTATTATTATTATTATATCAAACATTTTAAAGTTTTAAGTAGGACTGTTGCTAACACCCTCTTGCTTCTGAATCCAGTGTGAGGCAGGCCATTGTAGGGTGAATTAACACGGCGCCTAGTCAACAGAGAAGAGCAGTTGTATATAAGTGAGGAGGTCACTCAGAAAGTGATCCTTGTTGCGGGGATAACAAGGGCATGACAAGTCTGCAAGTGTCCAAAAGGTAAAGGTATGGGTAAAGGTAAAGGTAAAGATAAAGGTAAAGGTAAAGGTAAAGGTAAAGGACCCCTGGACAGTTAAGTCCCGTCAAAGGCAACTATGGGGTTGCGGCGCCCATCTCGCTTTCAGGCCAAGGGAGCTGGCGTTGGTCCACAGACAGCTTTCCGGGTCATGTGACCAGCATGACTAAACCGCTTCTGGCACAACGGGACACTGTGACAGCAGCCAGAGCGCATGGAAACGCTGTTTACCTTCCCACACTGGCATGCTTTTGAACTGCTGGCTTGGCAGAAGCCATTACACAGAGGCAAACCCAGGTTTGGTGGATGCAGCCCATGAAGAGCTTGCAGATGGCTGGATGTGCTGGGATATCATGCAAGTTTCCAAACACATTGCAGCATTTACACTGTAATTTTTAGGCAGTCACTTAACACATCTTAGGTGACATGAAACAGTCCATTCTCCATAAGGGCTCGCCATTGGCTTGACCTGAGTTCATTATCTTTAAATGGGGTTGATAGCATGTGAGAGTTAACAAGGTAGTGACAATTATGCTATTATACAATAATTAATGCAACATTTACATTTTCCTGTTAGGAACTGCTTGAACAAAACTGTCTGCTAATGATTTAAATTAGCATTTTAAAAAGACTTCTATTGAACACTCACAACTATCATTGCTGCAGAATAATATATATATATATTTCACTGATTATAAATACAGAGAGAGAGAGATGGGGAGAGAGAGATGGGGAGAGAGAGAGAGAGAGAGAGAGAGAGAGAAATGAGGGAAGCACAATTTACTGTAACAAACATTTGTTATTCAAATGTTTCTGACATGGAGTCTAATTGTGTTTGCATATCACTGTCATGTAAATAATATCACTGAACCTCAGCCTAAAATGGTGCTAGGATTCTGGAAAAAAATGATACATAAAGAGAATGAGACAATTTTGCTTGGCTTGACAAGTCTTTCACATTACCCATATATGTTTTAAGTTAAACCATAATATAGCCAAGGGCAGACAGGAGTTTCAGCAGTGACCACTGTAATACTGAGTATTTTTAATTACTGTAACAATAAATCACAGAGGAATGTCCTCCAGGAGTGAAATAATTTTCTTTTTAAAAAAAGAAAAGCCCAACATCTTGGAATATTTCTGAAATTCAATTAATTGAAGGCACCAGATAAAAGGTACAAGTTCTTAATGGTTGTAAAGGAACCCTAAGGGATGGAAGCGAGCTCTCAGCTCAACTTCAAAGTGTGACAGAAATACTTACAGTATTACTTTAAAAAGTATTCAGATCAATGAATCAGTTAAAATTACTTATACATTTAAGAGCCTTTTCATTTTCTCTTTTTGAGCTGGAGAGGCAGAAGTGCTCTCATTTCCTGTGATACAAAAAAGAAGAAAAAAGTCTGTTGAAACCTGTAAAAGAAATTGTAATTAAAGCCAACCTTCAGTCAAAAATTGATATTATGGATTTCCAGTTGACACATGATAAAGAGGCCAAGGAAACATAAAAGTGGCTTGATGAGACCTACATTTGCAGGCATTATACTCACATTTCACAGGGTTGTGTAAATACATATTTCCCGAACCATTTGAGGTGCACCCAGTGCTGGCTTCTCCACTGACATGAGAGCTTCCACTCACCAACGACCATATTGTACCATTCCCCCAACCCACCGTCATGATGTATAATTTCACAAAATGGCACCTTCATGTGTAGAGGCAGCATGCTATGACTACTAGATGCTACATGCAGTGGGGATGAGCTGTTGCTTTCATGTTGGTGAGCTTCCCAGAAGCATCTGGTTGGCTGCTTTTGGAGGCAAGCTGCTAGAGTAGAGAGCCAGTGTGGTGTAGTGGTTAAGAGCGATAGTCTCGTAATCTGGTGAACCGGGTTCGCTTCCCTGCTCCTCCACATGCAGCTGCTGGGTGACCTTGGGCTAGTCACACTTCTTTGAAGTCTCTCAGCCCCACTCACCTCACAGAGTGTTTGTTGTGGGGAGGAAGGGAAAGGAGAATGTTAGCCGCTTTGAGACTCCTTCGGGTAGTGATAAAGCGGGATATCAAATCCAAACTCTTCTTCTTCTTCTTTTTTATTTTATTCTTTTTTTTAATTAAAGATTTGCTTGTTTTACAGAAGTATGTGTAACGTCTCTCGTATTTTTTCCATGTAACATTTTTACAAATCAGTTTCATTTGTTGAGACATTAGGGGGAGAAAAAAAGGGGTGGAGGGGGGGAAGATGGGTGGGGGTGGGGTCGGGTGGCGATGTTTCTTTTTTGATTAATGTATGTAGGGTGGCCACACCCTATGTATGTGGGTTAAACCACAGAGCCTAAGACTTGCCGATCAGAAGGTCGGCGGTTCGAATCCCTGTGACAGGGTGAGCTCCTGTTGCTCGGTCCCTGCTCCTGCCAACCTAGCAGTTTGAAAGCACGTCAAAGTGCAGGTAGATAAATAGGTACCGCTCCGGCGGGAAGGTAAACGGCATTTCTGTGTGCTGCTCTGGTTCACCAGAAGCAGCTTAGTCATGCTGGCCACATGACCCGGAAGCTGTCTGCGGACAAACGCCGGCTCCCTTGGCCAATAAAGCGAGATGAGCGCCGCAACCCCAGAGTCGGCCAGAGGTAATGGTCCTTTACCTTTATGTAGGGTTTGGTGTCAGCATTGCTCGTGCTGTTCATTTGTGTTTTATTTGGTGATGAGAGAGGTTGGGGTTGGCCTAGGGTGCGGTTGTTTGTTTGTGACTGGCTGTGGTGATCTTTGTTTTCGTGTGTGAGTGGGGTGGGTGGGTGTTTTGGATCAGGTTAGCCATATTGATTTGTATGCTGTTGGCGGATTATTGTCATTGTCTTGTTGGGCTGTGTATGTGATAAAGGGGAGCCATACTGGGGTGAAGGCGTCTTCTTCTGTTTGTCCCCGTGTCAGTTTCAGTTTATTGGTTAATTTTTCTAGTAGGGCTGTTTCCCATACTATTTGGTACCATTGGTCCATACTTATAGAGTAGAGTTCTTGACTTATGATGGTTGATGGACTGCTTTGGGGAGGTACAGGGCTGGCCTAAGACATTTTTCTGTCTGCTGTGAAGGACAAGATGGTGTTCCTCCCCAGAAGTAGACTCTGTCTTCAGTGCCAGGGATGGGGCAGTGTCCTCTACTGTACTTAAGGGAAGCAGAAGTAGACAGGACAAGTTACATGGCACACACAACTCTTATGTGGGAGATGGATTGAGGATTCAATATGTATATTAAAATTTAAACCTCCTATTCCACGTGTGTGGGAGAAATAAAAAAAAGTAAGCAGACTGTGAAGCCCTTATAGGTTTTGCAGCTTACAAAAACTTAGGAATTGGGTAGTTATATCCTTTTCCATTCCTTTTATTTGTGGTCTATTGACCTTGCTATCTTCACCCCAATTGCAGAGAATGAACCACACTTTTTAGTAAGTTAAACAAAAATGTTTACTTACATTTCAATGCAGGCAGCAAATACAAGACAGGTAAGAAAAACTTCTTAGGTACAAAATAAAAAAGTTGGCTTCAGTATAGGTTGCGGGTCACCCTCCCCCAAAGGCTGTGTGTGTTTGAAGCCCCCAGACACATGTCTGATTAGTTTGGAGGCATGGTACAGAGAGAGTCTCCTCAAAGGCAGGAGGAAGTATAAAAGGTTTGTTACAGAATTTCCACCCAGAGTAGGCAGGGGAAGTAAGCACACAGAGGGTCCTCTCTAGGAAGTTTAAGAACTCTCTGTATACTAGCCCTGTTCTTGTCTAGCAAAACATGCAGGGTGTGTGATGATTGTTGGATTAATGTCCTTGTTTGGGCTTAGTCACACATCTCAGTTTATGATGAAACCTGACACATGTAGCACTCTGATTTATGCATTAAAGCCTTTGATGGAAACCATGTCAAGAGTTCCTACTGTATCATAAGACCACATGTTATGTGTATATGTGCATGCCAACCTTTTAATGCTCATGGGCACATTTAGACTTTTGAGTGAGTTCTGTGGGTGCCACCCTTCTTGCAACATCTCTGTTTGCTCCTCTGGACCCTCATCCCACCAGGACAGAAAGGGAAATTGCACACATGCAGGTGTTTCACTTTTCAAGGGATCTGGGTAAAAGTTGGATCCACTGGAATTAATCTGAGCCTTGAAAGGCCCATAGAGCTGAAACAGGAAGTGGCAAGGAGCGCCACTCTTCCAACTTCCTCCTTGTAGTTTGCAAGGGAGAAAAAGGTAACCACCCTGTGCCCAAATGGGCAGTATGAATGGTGTTGGTGGTGGGAGTTCAGAACCTTTGTTGGCACCAGAACCCCGAGAGAGCACTTTGTGACCTCTGGATACAGTCTCATAGCAGTGTCCCTGGTATGTAGGTTTTTATGTGAAATAGCAATTAAAAAAACAACCCTCTCCTGCAGATTGAAGTGGCAAAATTTCACCAGTTCAACTATTAACATTACAATAAATTATGAAAATGAATTGATTGCTTCATGGCGTCATATTCCAACAGCCAGTAACAGAGAACAAGGTCTAATGACTGAATACTCCATATAAATGGCTGAGTCCTCATTTGCAACCAGAAGTTCTGTGGTCCAGAAACAAGTTTGCTGTCACCTGTTGTTTGCAGGAACTTGGTATAAAAGAAGAGAGTGGGATGGAAGGAATTGCAACTTGTTGTCAGGAGGATAAGTTATGAACACCTGCTCAGAAGTGCATGCATCCCAGAGAACTCCTTTGAACTAGGAGTTATTATGACACATTTTTGATAACTTTGTGGACTACTTTCCCACCTACTGTGCTGGCAAAGGGGAGCGCTGTGGGTCACTGAGCAATGAGAAAATTCACAGTGGATTACAATCACAAAGTCAACTGTGCTAAGGTGTCTTATGATGGTGTATTCTCCAGAAACCAGAATAACAATAAGAAAGAAAGTTGATTCCCAACAGACAGTCGAACAGAGCAACGAAAGTTCGTGACAGTGACCTATAAAATATATGGATCACCATCTTGCAAAACAATTTCCTGTATGGAATTGTAATGCAATGTGTATACAAGATGATAAGAATGTACTCACAATCAAAATATAATGCAAGCCCTGCAGTCGTTTCAGTTTGTAATGCTGTCCAACTTAAAACCCGCTTTTAGGCTGATGGTAATGCAAGTTGTTGACGATGCTGCAAAGAGCTAGTCCGGTATAGTGTCTAAGAGACTGAGTTGCCTTATTATGATTATTATTACCTCCTTCAATAGCACTTCCAGTCTAGAAGCTAACCATCTCCGCAGTGGGAAGCTAATCTAGTTCTTCATTTCAGCTGATGCCCTACCCAAGAGGATTCGGTGGGGAAAAGAAATGGACGCCATCAACAATTCATGCCCTTCGCAATGGTGAGGTGGTCCCAGGATTTTGGCCATTCAATAACCATAGCCCAATGGGAAAATTTATGGAAGATTGTCGGAGCCAGCCGTTACAAATGGCGAAGTTTAGCATAAAATAAAGACACAGAGAGCCAGCAATATTTTCATGATGGTAGGAGCAGCTCCTTTCGAACTCTCCCTCTCCTCCTGCACCTTCTTTTATTATCCTTTGTCTCTCTCCAGCCGCATGGCTGTTTGCCAATGTCTCACGTTACGGTACCTCATCCGGTCAAGGCTTTAACCCACCCACAAACCATATAAGGTTAATACACTCCAATACATTGTAAAGCTCAGAGTGCTGGTCAGCCGAGGTCAGGGGGCACCCTGCAATAATACAAGCCTTTACCGTGGCTTTATGGCTCCCACAGAAGATCATTTGGAAATTCACAAATTGTTACACGATTAGAGAGAACTTTCAAAAAATGCAACATCGATGGTATCTAACACCATGGAAACTTTCAAAAATGTATAAAAATGTGTCAAGTAATTGTTGGAGATGCGGAGACTCAGGAACATTCTACCATATGTGGTGGATATGTAGGAAAATACAGGTATTCTGGGAGAGTATACATGCAGAACAGCAGCAAGAGTTTTGATCGCAGCAAAATGGAAGAGTATTGAAACCCCCTCTATACAAGATTGGATCCAAAAGCTGACAGGATATGCCGAATTAGATGGTTTATCAGAAAAAATAAAGAATAAATCAAAACAGGAATTTGTTTCAAAATGGGAGGTTTTCAAAGAATATCTGAAAAATAAATATAGTAGTTTAGATTCTGCTGCAGCATTCAAGGAACTTCAGTAATAGTTGCAAGGTAGATATAAGAAATTAAATTTATTGAGAATAAGTTTAATTATGATAAAAGTGTGTATTGGCAATAAGTAATATGAATTTGAAATATGGAAGAGATGGGAGGTTGGGTCTTTAGGGTTAAGACCAATAGATGTTTTATTGTTTGCTAAGAAAATTATGTGTCTATGGTTATTTTTGTAATTTGTGTGTAATTTGGTATTTTTTTTTTTTCTTGTTGTATAAATAAAAAACTTTATAAAAAAAAACAATTCATGCCCTTTGGAAAGTTGAAAAGTCATACTTTGCCAATATGAATGAAAGGAGGACATAAAAGTCCTTTCAAAACACCAGAATATATCAGCCATTAATGGCGAAATTCTCTTGGCCCGAAGTCATAACTTTCTGGAGGGGTCTAGCATTGTGTAAGCAACTCAAATTTTAACACATCTGACGGAGGATTTGCTTTCATTACATAGTTCCCTTTATCCAGCTCTTCCTGTTCTTCGAGTTGTACAGTACTGATACCTTTCTCAGTATTTTCAGTTGGGATGTTCTCATGCCTTGCCCCTGTCTGTACCTAGATCTTTTCTGTCTCTTTTGCGGCAGACACTGCTGCTTGCACAATGTTTGATGAAGTAGTATCTTGTGTCTGGGGTTCACTACTACAGCTGTCTTCTGCTTTTTGACGCTGGTGTGGTTTTCCATAGCAAAACAAACAGAAACAACACTGCTTCTTTGCTTTTTTATTCCTCTAGAAGCCTTATATAGAAAATCCCTATGCCTTTTCTTTAACCTTCAACCATTCAAAACAGTAGCACTACATTCCTGTTTCCCAATTTAAAAATATGTTTACAGTGGTACCTCGGGTTACAGACGCTTCAGGTTACAGATGCTTCAGGTTACAGACTCCGTTAACCCAGAAATAGTACCTCGGGTTAAGAACTTTGCTTCAGGATGAGAACAGAAATTGTGCAGCAGCGGCGCGGTGGCAGTGGGAGGCCCCATTAGCTAAAGTGGTGCTTCAGGTTAAGAACAGTTTCAGGTTAAAAACGGACCTCTGGAACGAATTAAGTTCTTAACCCGAGGTACCTATTTTCTCAGAACTGTGTCAGCACTTTTGGCTTCTGTTCTTCTGAGTTACTTTTGGTTTCTGTTCTGAGTCATAAGAACCCCACCGGCCCCTCAAAAAGCAGAGTTGAATTCAGTAGCGCTCTGAAACTCCTCACCCGATCATAGAAAGGCACCAGTGCTCCTTTGTTTATATTATCATTGCATTTCCCAGGTTTTCAAAGCTTGTAACATTTGCAGAAGCAACATCATTAGATCAGAACAACCCGCATTCATCTGAGCTGCCTGCTGCCCCAGGGAGGTGCAGAGAGGCTGAGCTGGGCAGCTAATATCAATAGGAATAGTCTTAGAGATGACTCTAAACCTCTTGTTAGAATAAAAAACTAGAGTTGGAAGGGACCAGGAGGGTTGTCTATTCCAACTGGGGGCAATGCAGGAATCTTTTGCCCAACGCATGGCTCGAACCCACAGTCCTGAGATTTAAGAGTCTCACGCTCTACCAAGTGAGCTATCTAGCATTGCGTCATGACAATACAGACCTGGTTGTGTGTATCTGCGTGCATGAAAAGAAATACACTTCAGATTCCAAGGGAACAAGTTCCCCTGACCCCACAGACAGACGCTCCAGGACCATACTGATCATTTGCCAGCCCTTTGGGGGTCACATGGGCCAAAAAGTGTCTGGTGTCTAGAAGGATGTTGGAAAGAAGTAATGTGGTTTTAGCAGAAATGCTATCAAGGATTAAGAAAAAACAGATTGTTAAATGGTGAAAGGAGGGAAAGTAAAGTTACATTATATTAAGATAAAATATAGGACAAAAACTGGAAAAGATGGAAAGGACTTGCTGAAATAGCTAACTGAACTAGAATACAAAAAAGGGAGGTGTGAGGAGGTCAAGGAAACAAGCAAATGAAAGATAAGTTATGGGAAGATTCATTGTAATTTTTTTTGTTTTCTTCTTTTTCTTCTTCTTCTTTTCCTTATTGTGATGTGATGTTCTGTTTTTGCTTAATATGCCGTTTTCTATTTTTTCCTCTTTGTAACCTTTCAAATCTTAATAAATATTATTTAAAAAACAACAACAAAAAAACAAAAAGTGTCTGGTGTCACCCCACACTCTTACATAGGCACTCAGCTCCCCCTCATGAGCTGATCTGCAAAGGAAGGGGGTTCACTGCTCCCTCACTGCTCTTCAGGTGATTAATCTAATGGCTGTGTGTGTGTGTGTGTGTGTGATTTGCATCCCCATCAGGATGTTTGGTTGGGAGCAGGAGTTCAGACATCTCTGCCCATGCCAGAAGTGTGTCTACACACTTCTCCCCAGCTTTTTGCTACCGTTGCCAAAAACATGATGCTTGGGGGGGGGGGAATAGTTGCTTGAATTGGGCACATCAGGTCCACAGGCCAAGGGTTAAATACCCTGCACAAACCCCTTTCAGAGCGAAATGTGCCTCCATTTTATTTTTAGAAGGGTGTCTCTGCTATCAGAATTTTGGGCAACATTGCTGTAGATAGCTACTGGAGACATCAGAAAGGCTTGTTTGTCCTTAATATTGCATATTTCTCACTAAAACTGGCTTTCGTTCCACACATAGACTCCTCTTCTCCCATTTTATTTTTAAAATTCAGAAACCTATGACAAGACAAACAATCAACCAACAAGATATCATTAACATCAGATTTCCCATGCTCTGTTAATAACATTGAAATCCACATTAGCTATAAAAAACCTGTTCCATATTAATTCTTTGCTATTGCACCAACACCTACATACTTTCATAATGGTCACGATCCATCTCTGTCTTATTCAGCTAATGTCGATTTTATAAATTGCAACACAGGATCACAGCTGTTTAATATTCTTTTGTAATTCTTAGCAGAACTTAACACTGCACTTGGTTTATTTAATTTGTTCCCATACTTTACACAGCGATCCTTTTCTATCAGGACCCCAGCGGTTTTTCCATGTTGTAGCAAAAGCTATTCTGGCTGCTACTGAAAAAAATATCTAACTTACTTCTCCATGCAACACCCCCCCCCCCAATTGCTTAAAAACCTTCAATGGATTCTAAGCAGTCTTATTATATGCAGGATCTTACCCTTTGAACATTGTTGCTGTGGTGGTTATTGTTAGGGGAGGGGAGGGAATCCCACTCATCATATTAGCATAAAGTGAGACATCTGTTTGTAGTATTTGAAGGAGGAGCAATGTTTGTAATGCAGAATTACTCTTGCTCGGAGTGGTGTAATTTGTTCCTACACAAACTTCCTTTTTTCCATTCTTTTTTTAAAAAATAACTCTGCTGACTTTAGGAATTGTGGGTTTGCATATGGTGGGTAGACAGAGCTTCACTGGAGATAAATTTGGGGGAATGAAAGTGATTCTCATCTCCTGGGAAGCTGGATATATCCCCCTATGCAGGGATGTTTTGGCTTTTCGAATTTGGCTTTGGGCCAGGGGGAGTTTGGAGTTGTGGGGGCCCTTAACTTTGGAGGGACTTTGAAACATGCCTTTAAATATCATATGGATTTCAGTGTCGACTATGGAGAATGGGCTGACTTGTCAAGAAGGGACAAAGATATTGTCAAGTTGGAGTCTCCCCGAGAGAAAGGAAGGAAATTAAGAACAAGATCAGCAGAAGATAAAGTAAAATACAGGTATAAACATGAAGAAGATCTGCGGAAGGGACATGGAAAAGACTTAAGAGCCTTGGATAGAAGGTCACCAGGTTGATGGACTAGATGGATGGGATAGAAAGGACTGACAAAACCCGAGACCAGGAAGAAGAGACGATGGATGAAGATTGGAAGAAAGTTTTTAAAAAATTCATTTAGAAAATCATTGTAAAATTAATGAGTACAGTGGTGCCTCGCAAGACGAAAAGAATCCGTTCTGGGAGTCTCTTCGTCTAGCGGTTTTTTCGTCTTGCGAAGCAAGCCCATTGACGGGATTAGCGGATTAGCGCTATTAGCGCTATTAGCGTCTTTAGCGGCTTTTAGCAGCTTATCAGCTTCTCAGATAAGCAGATCAGCGGCTTAGCGACTTAGCCACAGAGTGGGTAACGGAAAAAAAAAACCCAGGAACTCGCAAGACAGTTTCGTCTTGCGAAGCAAGCCCATAGCAGATTCGTTTTGCGAGGCACCTCCAAAACGGAAAACTCTTTCGTCTAGCGAGTTTTCCGTCTTGCGAGGCATTCGTCTTGCGGGGCACCACTGTATTAGAAAAATGTTGGAATGAAATTATTTGGCTTTAGTAGAAATGCTAAAAAGAACTATGTAAGAATATGTTATGCTAAAAAGAATTAGATATAAATAAGACTTAAGTTTTAAGCTTTAGGGTTTTTATGGTAAGATAAGGTTAAAATAGATTAAGGTAATTTAATGACAGAATATTGTGAAAGATGGAAAGGATTTGCTGGGATAATTAATAACTAGAATACAAAAAAGGGAGGTGTGAGGAGGTCGATGAAACAAGTTAATGAAAGATAAGGATTTGTGAATATTGGATTTGTTTTTAATTTTTTTGTTTATTTTTGTTTTTTGATTTTGATGTATTGTGTGTTTTGTTTTTTTCTTTGACTTTGGTTTTTATTGACTTGTATTGTCAATAAAATACAATACAAGAACCTTTTTCTTTCTTTTTCTTTTTTTCTTGTTTCTTTCTTTCTTTGTAATTTTAAATTCTCAATAAATATCATTTTAAAAAATAAATAAAAAATAATAAAAAAAGATAGTGATTCTCATCTCCAAAGGGTAAGGGATATACAGTGGTACCTCGGGTTACAGACGCTTCAGGTTACAGACTCCACTAACCCAGAAGTAGTACCTTGGGTTAAGAACTTTGCTTCAGGATGAGAACAGAAATTGTGCAGCGGCGGCAGCGGGAGGCCCCATTAGCTAAAGTGGTACCGCAGGTTTCAGTTTAAGAACGGACCTCCAGAACGAATTAAGTTCTTAACCCGAGGTACCACTGTATTAATAATCAGGTGGGAGGAGAAAAGGATGGCAGAATGAATGACCAGGATGCCGTTTCCCTTCTGGAAAACACTTACACCTGCAGGTAAAGTCATATCCCCAACACCAGCCAACCTTTATTGTAAGGTTCCCATCAAGGCAGCATGAAGGATAACTTCATTATACAACTTATGATGCCTTTATTTCTTTGTCTTGTACCCTTTCTGATTCCGTTTAATCACTTAGCTCTGGTAATTTCTTTGGTATTATATGGAAAACTAGGTTTTTAGCCCACCCAGGCCAAACAGATTTGTATCTACCTATGAAGAGAGTGTGTTTTGTGCTCCCAAGTCCTACAATTTGGAGTTCCATTCTGGGTTCCATGCAACTTCTGAAAATTCTTTGGACGGCAGCTTAGAGCATCTGAGAAGTTAAATATATTTATTCCCTCCGCTGTGCTCTGCTTTGCATGCGTTAATATTGAAACGCTACCTGTCACCAGCTTCTCCTGTCACGTCTCCCTGTTGACTTCTCTGGCATTCAACACAGCTTCCTGGGGCCTCGACTAACCCGAGTTATTTTCTCATCTTGAATTTTGCCACCTTTTTGCCACCCTTCTCCCAAGACCAGTAATGCATATTTCTGCATATTTTTATCTAATCTCTTAAATGACCTTGATGCAAAAGCTGGCATTTTTTTTTAAATAACAAAATTGCTGGCCAGGTTTTTCAGTTATTTTGCTCTGATGTAGCTTATCGTTGTAGTTTATGTGTTTTAAATTTATACTGTTCCTATCTTTTCTTTGTTATATGTATTCTGCTGCTAGGTGCCTTAAAGGACTTTGTGAAGCCACGTTGGGTGGGGTATGAATAATAATTTAAAAATATCAGCAACCTTTTTTATTATAAAAAAGCTAACGCCACTATAATAATAGCTGCAAAGGTGTCTTCACACCTTGTAATCTGTGGTGGTGCTAAACACTCAAATCAATAATAATAATGATAATAATAATTTATTATTTATACCCCGCCCATCTGGCTGGGCTTCCCCGGCCACTCTGGGCGGCTTCCAAAAGAATATTAAAATACTATAATACATCAAACATTAAAAGCTTCCTGAAACAGGGCTGCCTTCAGATGTCTTCTAAAAGCCTGGTAGTTGTTGTTCTCTTTGACATCTGGTGGGAGGGTGTTCCACAGGGAAGGCACCACTACCGAGAAGGCCCTCTGCCTGGTTCCCTGTAACTTGGCTTCTCGCAGTGAGGGAACCGCCAGAAGGCCCTCGGTGCTGGACCTCAGTGTCCGAGTAGAACGATGGGGGTGGAGACGCTCCTTCAGATATACTGGACCAAGGCCATTTAGGGCTTTAAAGGTCAGCACCAACACTTTGAATTGTGCTTGGAAACGTACTGGGAGCCAATGTAGGTCTTTTAAGACCGGTGTTATGTGGTCTCTGCGGCCACTCCCAGTCACCAGTCTGGATTAGTTGTAGTTTCCGAGTCACCTTCAAAGGTAGCCCCACGTACAGCGCATTGCAGTAATCCAAGCAAATCCAATCAAAAGGTCAGTCACCCATAAACCACACATTAAGGTTCTGTCTGCACTATCTATTCAAAGCAGCATCATACCACATTAAACAGTCCTGCTTCCCCCCAAAGCATCCTGGGGACTGTAGTTTGTTAAAGGTGTTGAAGAGCTGTTAGGATCTTTAGTGCCCACATACAGCTACAATTCCCATCATCATCATCATTTTTAATTTGGATACCGTCTTTCTATCTTACAATACTCAAGGCGGTCCACAAGCTGAAGAAACAAAAAATGTACATCTTATAACAATCTAATGCAATACAAAAATGTGATAATAAAACATAACATTAAAATAGGCAACCTACACCCAAAAGTAACATTCAACAATCATTAGAATATTATTAAATAATAATAACATATAAAAGTTAAACAGAAATCCACTCAACAGTTACAATAAATAATTTCCAAACTATAATCTGTGGTCTAAACCACAGAGCCTAGGGCTTGCCGATCAGAAGGTCGGTGGTTCGAATCTCTGTGATGGGGTGAGCTCACGTTGCTCTGTCCAGGCTCCTGCCCACCTAGCAGTTTGAAAGCATGTCAAAGTGCAAGTAGATAAATAGGTACAGCTCCGGCAGGAAGGTAAACGGCGTTTCCGTGCGCTGCTCTGGTTTGCCAGAAGCGGCTTAGTCATGCTGGCCACATGACCCGGAAGCTGTATGCTGGCTCCCTCGGCCAATAAAGCGAGATGAGCGCCGCAACCCCAGAGTCTGCCACGACTGGACCTAATGGTCAGGGGTCCCTTTACCTTTATAATCCATAAAACAACAGCAAGCCACAGTACATAAAATAATACAATACAAATTGAGAAGCAGAGACTACAGGGTGGAGCAAGGCAGGTGGAAGGAGGCCTTGCCTGATGGAGTCTCTCCCCTGAGAATGTGAATTGCAGACTCATAGGGGTCTCCTATGAGGGGAGGGGAGGCAATTCTTCTTGCTGCTAGCAACCAGCAGCTAGTCCCTATGAACCGATAGGATCAGAATGGGAATGGGTGTGTGTGGTAGGGGACATTTTGTGCTAGTGGTGTTACATAGGAGCATACGCAGTTGCCCATTTCAGGCAATGCCTGACCACAACTCCATCTGGACCAATCCTGTCTAATCTGACAGGCAGTGTGGCTCTCTAAACCCAGCTACATACAAGATTCTTTAGTTAGAGGTGCAAATAGGGCTGGATTTTGGTAACAGAGCACCCTGAGCGTGGAGAAAATATGGCACCCCCTCCCAAATATTTCTTATTTTCACAATAATTCCTTTGGGTACAGTTGCTTTTATAATGGGCCGTCTTAGTAGAGTATGTAAATACGTATAGTTGTGAAAATAACATGCAAATGCGAATTGCCTTGGGGAAAGATACTGTGCAAAAATGTGTCTTTTTAGGGAAATTGAGTACAAATAGGTGTGTATCAGGAGCAACCAGCACTAAAAGGGTGATGAATTTTCAAGAGGATGTTTCTTCGAAAAATAGTCTCAAACTGATATGGAAATGTAGAAACCGGAATGGACCCAGGAGTGAACTTTGGTAATATGGAACCCTAAGGTAGGACAAAATTTGCCCTCCCCCTTATTTATTATTCTTGGACTCCATGATCACTGCAGATGGTGACAGCAACCACGAAATTAAAAGACACCTGCTTCTTGGGAGAAAAGCAATGACAAACGTAGACAGCATCTTAAAAAGCAGAGACATCACCTTGCCAACAAAGGCCCGTATAGTTAAAGCTACGGTTTCCCCAGTAGTGATGTATGGAAGTGAGAGCTGGACCATAAAGAAGGCTGATCACCGAATAATTGATGCTTTTGAATTATGGTGCTGGAGGAGACTCTTGAGAGTCCCATGAACTGCAAGAAGATCAAACCTATCCATTCTTAAGGAAAGTGCTCACTGGAAGGACAGATCCTGAAGCTGAGGCTCCAATACTTTGGCCACCTCATGAGAAGAGAAGACTCCCTGGAAAAGATCCTGATGTTGGGAAAGATGGAGGGCACAAGGAGAAGGGGACGACAGAGGACGAGATGGTTGGATGGTGTTCTTGAAGCTACCAGCATGAGTTTGACCAAACTGCGGGAGGCAGTGGAAGACAGGAGTGCCTGGCGTGCTCTGGTCCATGGGGTCACAAAGAGTCGGACACGACTAAATGACTAAACGTCAACAACAATATTTGTTATTTTCACAATAATTCCTTTTGGTACAGTTAACCTGTATATTTACCCGTATAAATATAGGCTGCTGCTGCTCTTGTTCTTGTTGTTCCTATTACTATTATTTTGCATCCCCTTGGCCCTGATGCACCCATTCCTGATTGAAGCTCACCATATGATGCAACAACTTTGAGTTTCTCTACCCTCAATTGAGCAGAGGTCAATGGTGTTGAGTGGGACGGGGGGCAATTAACAGTGTGATTAATCCCATATCATCCATTGAATTTCACTGGGCATTACAGAGGAGCAGTGGGGCACTGTGTACAGGGATGCCCTTTTCAGTGGCAGTCTTGCATCTTCAGTAACAGCTAGTTCTGCCATAACAAGGTTACTCTCCCAGAACATTGCGTTCTTCCAGCCATAATTCAGCAAGATAGCAAGGCAGGGTAGATTACAAAATAAAGCAAACACAATTAATTTAATCATTGACTCAGTCGTATAATTCAAGGGCGCTCAAGTTTCTGTGAAACGCAGACTTTTCCGATTCGTGCAGTGAAATAAACTCTTAACTCCTAGACACAAAGTAATGAACATTTGTTATTTCTGTATGACACTGCCATGTCTTCCCTTCTTTTTCTACTTTTGTAGCCTACTTTAAAAGAATTCCAAGTGTTTCCACCTTTAATCAAATGAATCTTTCAGAGCTTTAAAAATGATTTTCTGGTGCTTTTATAACTTTAACATCTCCCGTGAAATCTTTAGGGACTGTATAAAATCTAAGTAAAAGTATTCCTAATCCTTTCCTATTATCATCTCTGTTTACTGTGCGGCAGCACCACAGATTTCTGAATTCTAAATACCTTAATTATTTAGCAGTATATCAGAATAATACGTAATAAAAAGAGACAAATCATCATGTTTTTTTCAAGAGGGAGTGCATCATACCTGAGCAAATGACCTGACTTTTCCATTAGAGGCGACGCGCTGAGCCCACAGCTCACGGTGTTCACACTCAAATGAAATGCAGATTTCTTTTTGAACATTTGACAGACATTTAAATATAGAAATGGTTCTGTGGGCCCTTCCAGTAGCTTTGAAAAACCACAATTCAGACCAAAAAGGACAGCAAAGTTTCATCAATAGATTAGGCTGCAGTCCTAACCCCACTTACCTGGGAGTAAGCCCCATTGAATTCAGGAGGAAGTAGACTTAGTGAGGGTTGTGTTATATAGCTTTAGTTCAAACCCTGTGTTGGCCAGGTGTTTGGGACTACCATTCCCATCAGCCCCATGCTGTCTGGAGCTGATGAGACTTGTAGTCCCAAACATCTGGAGAGTGCAACTGTACTGTACAAGCATTCTTTAGTTTTAGCAATTTATTTAGATATTTTTTTTGCAGTACTATAATTAGCCAAAGTCTGAATGAGGAACCTCAGGGATATGAGTGCTCCATCAGTGGAGAGCATCTCTTCTCCTGGGGTGGCACCTACACCCCAGAGCAGCCCTGGATTGGCTCCCAGAAAGCTCCATGGGTGAAGTAATTGTGCAGCAATGTTCTTGGGCACAAGCCTGCGATAGCTCAGTCGAGCCCCACATTGGGCAAAAGATTACTTCATTGCAGGGTGTTGGACTAGATTACACTCGGGGTCCCTTCCAACTCTAAAATTCTATGATTTTATAGTGCAGACCCCAATGCCAGCCTTCTTTGTGTTACTGATCCCACCACCAGTTAACTTTGTGGAAAAGGAAACAGGCTGTTGGGTTTTGGGAAATTGCTTGGGCACCATCACATTCTCAAAGATGGCAACAGGAATCTATCTATCTATATCTATCATCTATCTATCTATCTATCTATCTAATCTATCATCTATCTATCTATCTATCTATCTATCTATCTATCTATCTATCTATCTATCTATCTATCTATCTATCTATCTATCTATCTATATCTATCTATCTATCTATCTATCATCTATCTATCTATCTATCTATCTATCTATCTATCTATCTATCTATCTATCTATCTATCTATCTATCTATCTATCTATCTATCATCTATCTATCTATCTATCTATCATCTATCTATCTATCTCTATCTATCTATCTATCTATCTATCTATCTATCTATCTATCTATCTATCTATCTATCTATCTATCTATCTATCTATCATCTATCTATCTATCTATCTATCTATCTATCTATCTATCTATCTATCTATCTATCTATCTATCTATCTATCTATCTATCTATCTATCTATCTATCATCTATCTATCATCTATCTATCTATCTATCTATCTATCTATCTATCTATCTATCTATCTATATCTATCTATCTATCTATCATCTATCTATCATCTGCAAAACTCTTTCTGAATTCAGATGGGGGTGGTCTTACCCACCACTAAAGAAAAAAGTGTGCATCAGGTATCAGAAGTCTGAGAAACACTATCTTAGATGAAGAGGTAACTGATTTTGTTTTTTCCTCAGAGCACTCAGAGAAAAAGAGGCCTTCACAAACAAAATTTACACTGTTCTGAACATTAATGGTCAATAGCATGAAATTATATACAACTATAGCAGAAGGGAAAACAAAATGGAAAAGGAATCTAGGCCTCTCAATCAATATCTGTCCCTGTACATATTTTTTCATGGTTCAATCGCTTTTTGCCTTCTGCTCTTCAACATTCAAGCATTCTGTAGTATTAAAAACAGGTGAATGATTATAACTAAAACCCAAATCCCACTGGGGCCCGGAATAAACCTCCCCATTCAACGTGTTTCTTCAGTGCAGTTAAATGGCATCCGGGGAGCCTGTGGGCATTTTACTTTGAATATAATATTGCTGTTATTCCCAAAGCGTGTGCCAGAAATTACTCGCTCTCATGGGACTCATGTTCCCACTTTCAGAAAAGGCTGCCCACTGTATCTCTGCACCATCTACAGTTCTTTTTTGGTCTTTCTTCATAGTCTTCCGAGGCCCATTCTGTCCTCCATTTGCCCACTGAATGTAAGGGTGTCTCTTCTGAAGTGGGCTAGAGATGTAGCATAACTAGCCTCAGAGAAGTCCATCTTGTGTTTTTGCATAGGGGATTGTTCCGTGCTTGCTGTGGCAAGCTCAAGAGAGCCCTGTTTCAGTTTTCCTCTTCCTCTTGCCAATGAGAGTATATGGGTATGCAGGCAGATAGCACAAGGAGCCATCACAGGGAATGGGGATCTCTGATATCCTCTTTCAACCCGTGCTATGCTCTCTACCTATGTACCCTGCAAATTATTTGTGCTCTGAAGTTACTTGCATGGCACATGGAGGCAGGGCTGTATGGGGACTTGGGAGGCATGCAAAGATTGTGTTGCCTGTGTGTACCCACAAATTGCCCAGTGGCAAATTGAACAGCTATCCCAACTGCCAAGGCTCTATGACTCCTGTTGGACAATTCCCCATGTGGATGCTGTGCTCATACTCAACTGGAAGAGCCCTGTTGGGATTATCCTTCATTATTATTATTATTATTATTATTATTATTATTATTATACCGCCCTATACCCGGAGGTCACAGGGCGGTTCACAGAATAAAATCAAGATATAAAACCACAAAATATCTAATAAAAATAAAAACAACAACCCAATAGCCACCCGCAAAAAACCCCACATTTTAAAAGGGCATAGGATGTAAACTGGATCAACCAAAGGCCTGGTTAAAAAGGCACATTTTCGCCTAAGGGTGTATAATGAAGGTGCCAGGCAAACTTCCCAGGGGAACGCATTCCACAGACGGGGAGCCACTGCAGAGAAGGCCTGTTCTCGTGTTGCCACCCTCCGAACCTCTCGAGAGATAATGAGTTGAATCCACAGTACAATAGTTCCATGTAGGTCCCATAGAAATTAATCTGAAAAATTTGTTCCAATTTAAGTGAAGCCCCATTCATTTCAGTGGCAACTAAATTCCCTCAATCTGGATTTAGCCCACTGGATATTCTCAAATGAAAATGTTTCTGGATTTCCAGGTAGCCTATTTTCCATTGACGTAACTACCTTTAATATTCTTCATTTTTGGACAACCACATTATATATATGTCTGTGTTGCCTCCTTCACACATTTACTCAAACATTTCCCTTTACTTAAAAATAATAATCATCTCACGGTGTAAACTATAGTATCCACTAATTCATTTGTAATAGGATGCTCCCTGTTTAAACATATACAAAGATAGTCCTTTTGTCCAAATAATGTTCTGGTTGCCCTCAGCCATTGAAACCACCAGTTATCTTCCCCATCCTTTACTATAAGTAATGTCCTGAGTTTTTAATCTCAATGAATAGTTCATAAATCTTTTGCAAATTTTAAAGGTCTCTGCCTGGAAGCAGCTAAGTCTTCTCCTTTCCTCTAAACAAACAAAGGCTTTCAGAATTGGCCATGAGCTGAGATAGTGGGTGCTCAGTGATCAAACAGCCCCTTGTTAATGGCAGGCAGTTTCTATATATAGATACTGAATAGCCAAAACTAGATATTTCCCCCAGTAACCATAGCAGTTAGAGAGTTAGGGTAAGACCTTTTTCCTACTTCAGCACGGTGGTGACCCATATCACTTTCAATTTTTTTCTGTACCAGTGGACTGTTGATTCAACTTAGTTTGTTGATTAATTAGGCACATGCTATCTGCAAAAAAAAGGGACACGTGTGATGCTGTGGGTTAAACCACAGAGTCTAGGGCTTGCCGATCAGAAGATCGGCGGTTCGAAACCCCGCAACGGGGTGAGGTCCCGTTGCTCAGTCCCTGCTCCTGCCAACCTAGCAGTTCAAAAGCACGAAGTGCAAGTAGATAAATAGGTACCACTCTGGCAGGAAGGTAAACGGCGTTTCCGTGCACTGCTCTGGTTCGCCAGAAGCGGCTTAGTCATGCTGGCCACATGACCTGGAAGCTGCATGCCGGCTCCCTCGGCCAATAAAGCGAGATGAGCACTGCAACCCCAGAGTTGTCCGTGACTGGACCTAATGGTCAGGGGTCCCTTTACCTTTGTGTGCAAAATGCACTGGTTCCATTCATTTCAAATGCATTGTGCCTCTTTCCTACTCTTTCCAATGTCTTCCACTGTGAGAGACAATATGGTTGAGCAACATCTGGAGGGCCATAGGCTCCCCACTCCTTTCACACACGGAGTTTTCATATATGGTGTTTGTCGGCATCTGTCTACCTCCAGAGAAAATGGAGTGTGCCTCTGGGGGGTGAAGTTCAACCACTGCATTATCATCACTGAAGTGACCTCTCTGGAGTGCAAGCCTGGGCAGTGTGTCTGGAGGTCCTGGGCTGCCTAGATGACAAGACCCCTCTCTCTGCCTCACTGATGTGGTCCAAAGGAAAGCCGAGTAATACATTTGGCACCAGCTTGGCTGCAGGAGTTGCCAGAAGAAGGTCTACAAGGCACCTTCCAAGAATCTTAGGGGCTCCACTTTGGTGGGAAAGCATTAAAAAAAGGACTGCTCCTCTGTAGCCTAAAACAATACATTCCACAAGTAAAGGTAAAGGGGCCCCTGACCATTAGGTCCAGTCGTGACCGACTCTGGGGTTGTGGTGCTCATCTCACTTTATTGGCAGAGGGAGCCAGCGTACAGCTTCCGGGTCATGTGGCCAGCATGACTAAGCCGCTTCTGGCGAACCAGAGCAGCACATGGAAACACCGTTTATCTTCCCGCTGGAGCGTGCTAGGTTGGCAGGAGCAGGGACCGAGCAACGGGAGCTCACCCCATCGTGGGGAGTCGAACTGCCGACCTTCCGATCGGCAAGTCCTAGGCTCTGTGGTTTAACCCACAGCGCCATTTCTTGTACAAAACCCTTGAAATCTCAGGGTCAATGGATAGGTGACCCTATTAAGGCATTAGTCTTAAGATATGAGGAGGAGGAATAGGGATGAGTGGTTTAACCCACAGCGCCACCCACGTCCCACAAGTACACCACACTATTCCACAAGTAGACCACACTATTTTTTGGAATGCTTATCCGTGGCTCATGATGAAAGAAAGTGACCGCTCTTCACATCAAATGGAGGGCGCCCTTTGCATGCCCGCGCATAGCACCCCTGATCCTACAAGACTCCTGGCAGAGCACTCCTGGACCGCCTCCCCAGGTCGCAAACCTTGAGGTTCCCACCAAACCTCAGTTCAAAGAACCAATTGTGACTGGGGAGGTGTAGCCAGGGGAGTGGACCAAGTAAGGGTTTGGTCCGCTCTTTAAGCATAAAAGGGGGTGAAGCCTACCCTGGTTGTGTGCAAGGGCATTGTGCTGGCAAAAACAGTGATCATGGACTTGGAACAATTCCATGCCATGCACCCTAGCATTTCCATCCGTTGGTCAGAACATATTCCACGTTTGCAATGGTGGGGCATTCACAAACCATCCAGGCTGAATTCCACATTGGAAAAAAATTAACAGGACTATCCACTCGGCAGTCTTGCGTCTTGGGGGCCGAGTCGTGAAGCACCTGGACATTAAAACCTACAGAAGGGATATTTTTAGGCCTGACGGAGTGCACCTTACCACCACAGGAAAGGAACACTGATTGGACAACATCAGGCATGGCCTCCTGGAATGGTTGTTGGACTGCTAAGGGTTTTTTCAGGTGTAGGTAGTCTTTGTGGCGAGACCACGATTTCATGGTCTCAAGTGGTGGTGATAGGCCTTGGGCAGAATCCTTTAGTCTATCTTCTCTAAAGGGGTGGGCGTATGAAGCAGTGACCGCCCCTCCCCCGTGGTGGCGATCCCAGGGTTCCCCTTTAAAGGGGTTGTGTTGAGGCGAGTCAGTGGCCATACGCTGAAAGGTTGTCACTGCACTCCCCTGTGTTGCAGTGAAATGGGGGGGCGGGCTGTCTGCTTAAACATACGTCTTCCAGAGCCAGCCCAATCCCCAAACAGATTGGATGACCCTGATGTGCCCCAGATGCCTGGCTGGGGACTGGGAGGTATATACTTAGGCCCAATGCCTAAGCCAAGGTCTTCCTACATCTGAAAGTTTAATAAAGTTGTGGCCAATTTTAATCCCATAACACAGGCATGTCCAAAGTCCGTTTCAGAGGTTTAATCCAGCCCCTGTGGCAGTTTATTTACTGGGGTGAAATCCTAAAGAAACCCTCAAAAACTTCAGTCCTAAAAGAAGCTCAACAACTCCAACTCTAGAAAAGTTCAACAACTTCAATCCTAAAAAGAAAGCTCAACAACTCTGGTTGGCCTTCTGGTCAGCCCCCACGGCCCTTCACTTCATCAAATCTGGCCTTCTTTGAAAAAAGTTTGGACACCACTGCCATAACACGTTGTCATGAGTCATTATTCCACCTGGGTGTTGCCTGGGGGTCTCCGCCTGGGCGCACAATATTTCACACAATGCCTCCCAGTCTTGGAGACTCTCCCCTGTGACTTTCTTAACGCAATGTCTTCCAGCAATGAAATAATGCCGGTGGATGGAAATTTTCCAAGAAGAACATCACTTTTGGTGTCTCCAGATTGCCAGTATTTTGCAAGAGGTGTTCAAGGGCATTGTTATGTACTGAGTTGAATAGGATCCAAAATGCAGCAGTCTGATTGGTCCTAGAAGAATAGGATCCAAAATGCAGCAGTCTGATTGGTCCTAGAACAATAGGATTCAGAATGCAGCAGGCTGATTGGTCCTAGAACAATGCGGCAGTATGACTGGTCCACAGGAGCCACCCAATCCAGCTCCAGGTGGAAGTGAATCCACAACCTGATTGGCCTACAGAAGAATCCCGGAATTAGCCAATCACGTGGGGCCCATTGTGTAAATAATGTATATAAAGCAGACATCCTGGGGGAACTTCCATTCCTCCTCACCACTATGAGCTGAATAAAGAGCATGAAATCCACTCTCGACTCTGAGTATATTTCAGGCATCATGGAACTTTAGGTTTGTAGAATTAAAGCACATTGAAGGGGCTCTGTCTCCTTAACACAACAAATCAACTTGAAAAAAGAATCAGGCTTTTTGTAGTTTGGAAGGTGATGGAGAAATGTATTGAAAAGTGTGGAATGCATAAATGGCTAATGGGAAGATGTGTAAATACCTTGCAGAGAAATCAGGATGGGTGCAGGATGAATATAAGCGCCATACAAACAAATCAGAATAAATGCTCAGTCAAGACTGGATATGCGGTAGCCTCTGTGTAGGCAAATATTTCATCTGAAGGAGCCCTCTCTACTTGTTTATATTAAAAAAATTGTAATGGTTGAAGATGATGCAAGGAGAAAAATGGTTTACGGAAGGAATGGAAACTTTGAAACACCAAGTCAAGTGTATCAGTGATTTCAATAGGACGAGGAATGATGACCTAACTGATGTTATGCTAGGAATAAAATAGAAATATGCTGAGGCTAGGCCAAGCCTGGATGGGAGACAGAAAAGCTTAGAGAAACTATTACAGAATGATAGCTGAACATCATGTTAGCGTGACAGGAGATTCTGAGCACACACAAAGAAGTTACAGTGACAGAGTTTTTCAAGGGCTCCTAACAGTTCACTGAAGATGCAGTGGCAACCAGTTCCATCCATGCAATAAGCAATGTTTAAAAATAACACCCCTCTTGAGCTGACAATCATTGTGGAAGAACAAAGATTTGTGCGGATGAAAGGAAGGAAAAGTTCAGTGATATACAGTGACTGTTCATAGTGAGGTTGACAGGAATTTGTACTTCTGTCCAGACGCTGCTTATTTCACTGTTTCCCAAAATCCTGATAGCTGAGGCTCATTTTCCCCTTGAATTAAAACTGGAGACATACTTTATTATTATTTTTAACACCTGAGATGGTTTGCTTTCAGAGTGTGGGAAGACAAAGGTTTACCTGCTCTCTCAGAAACCCACCCTCCTGTGTTCTACATGGGCATTTCATCAGCTACTTATTTTTGCAATATATATATATATATATCACACCTTTTGCATAAGGAAAACAAGATAGTGATAAAAACAGCAATGACTAAAGAAGCAGAAGGAAAGGTAAGGATGCTCTGGTGACTCATAATCCTAACATAGCAGGCACCCCATTAAAAGCTGGAACCAGTTATCAAATGCCATTAAAAGCCAAAGAACAGGATTAACTTCCTGGCACCCAAAGAACAGGAAAGAAAGAAGCATAATGGGTTCCCTCCCATAACTTGGGGTGCTTCCAGGTGACTTGTTACTGAGCATTCATCCTGATTGGATTAGATGATGTGTGTCAAAGCAAAGGTTACCCCCTAATTTTCAGTGCATTTTCCCCTCACTTTCCTTATTGCAAAAAGTCCAGAATTCCTCAGCATCACCTACACTGATGGGCATCAGTTCTCCAGGGTCTCAGACTTGTGGTCTTTTCCAGCGGCACTTGGAGCTGCCAGGGATTGGATTCTGGGATCTTCTGCATCCAAAGTACATATTCTGGCATTGAGTTATGCCCCTCCCACAAATATTTTGGCCATGGAGGGGTTTGAATCAGGGGTTTGAACTCCTGGGTATATGTTTGCTTGCACCTCAGGGTCCCAATTGACCCAGTGCAGACATAGATTTTGTTGTGTGTTTTCTTCCAGTTCCCACTATTAATAGTAGCCTGAGTATAGTTAGCAAATTCACATGAGCAAATAAATGTTGGTGTCATTAAAGGTAAAGGGACCCCTGACCATTAGGTCCAGTTGTGACTGACTCTGGGGTTGCGGTGCTCATCTCACTTTATTGGCCGAGGGAGCCGGCGTACAGCTTCCGGGTCATGTGGCCAGCATGACTAAGCCGCTTCTAGAAAACCAGAGCAGCACACGGAAATGCCGTTTACCTTCCCGCTGGAGTGGTACCTATTTATCTACTTGCACTTTGACGTGCTTTCAAACTGCTAGGTTGGCAGGAGCAGGGACCAAGCAACGGGAGCTCACCCCGTCGCAGGGATTTGAACCGCTGACCTTCTGATCAGCAAGCCCTAGGCTCTGTGGTTTAGACCACAGCGCCACACACGTCCCTGTTGGTGTCATTAGAGTCATAGCAAATGTATGTGTTGTAAAGGAGTTATTATTTTCAGTCATGATTTTACAAAGTAGCACCAGAAAGGGTGGGCAGGAGGGGAGAGGATTGTTTGCCATTGTTTTCCTTACTTTGCCAACACACACTATAAGGTGACGAGTATATTTTTAAGCTGAAGAAAGCTACTTAACGTTACAATGCCCATTCATGGAATTAATGTATATTCCCATTGTTGATTTATAATGCCATGTCGGGAACAAACTGCCAGAGGTCCTAACCTGCTTTTTAAAAGGAGTTAACAAACGAAATAGAAATACGAAACCGAAAGTGCACACAACCCTCCACATTAAACTCACATTTTACCTGTAATTTTGATCCTTTTGGGTTAAAGGAATGTTCAAATGCTTTCACAGTAGTTTTTTTTTTTGATTGAAAGAATTTGTAATTGGATTTCCAAACATGCTGCTTTCATCTTGGGCAGTACAATATGCACTTTGATAATAACACGGCTATGTCATTAGAAAGAAATCCATTTACGAGCTTCGGCATAAAATGAGATACAGAAGGAGACAATAAAATGCTTTCTAACATAATGTACCTTATTTTTCATTGTATTCCATGCCTGCATTATGAATAAGTAATTTTATAAGTGCATCACCAATACGGTTCGCCTGATCAGTGGCTGCTGTCTGTGAGCTGTCAGCTTTCCGTTGCACCAAAACCGTTCTCACTATCGCATGAATATCTAATGAACTTTATGCAACTTTATTACAGATCAGAATCGGGGGCTAGGAACTTTTTTCATGAATTTTAAAGTCGTCTGAACGAGAAAAATGGAAACTGTCAATACCAAAAGGAGGAAACATGTGAACATCTGCAAATTGTTGCATTTCCCCATCATACTGAATTGTTCCCGATTTTCATGTAAGTTTTCATTACGCTTCCATGTATTCACTGCAGCTTTTCTTTTTGTAAGTTGTCTACCTGCCAGTTGTTCTCAGCTTTAGGGATTTTGTCATAGGTTTTTCTCTCCAAAGAACAGGAATGTAGGGGTTTGAATCAAGCTAAGACCATCTAGTTCAAGGGTAGCCAAAGTGTTGCCGTCCAGAGGTCTTGGACAAGACTTCTCCACATCCCTCTGACCTTACCATCACCTTGCTGTGAAGATCTACTCATAACCATGACTTTTTAGAGTTGGTGACTTGTGGAAGTCAGTTGGTAGTTCATCACACCTCAACCAGTGTGATGCAGTCTTCAGAGATTTCCTGCTCCCAGCAGAACAGCTTCTTCCAGAGTCCCCAGTTAAGGGGAAAACTCATCTCCCACACAGTTCAAAGTAACAAAGTGTTCATGGTCTCCAGACACAAGACAAAGCTGAAAACTGCTATCTACCTCATAGAGTTATTCTGGTCTTTGAAGTAAAGATATATATGTACAGAGAGACCTCCTAACAACTTCACCATGCTAGCTGTCAGGGACTGGGCAGAGGAGAAATGGTGGAGACAACCTCCTCAGCCTGACCCTTCCAGAGAAGAAGAAGACAGTTCAGAATTACAATAGGGGTTTGAGGGAGGTCACAGATCAGAGGAAGATGAGGGGAAAAGTTGGGAAATAACGGGAGAGGAGGAGGAGGAGGCGGAGCAGCTGGCAGACACGTTATCACTAGAAAGCATTCCAGACCCACCATCTCCCAGAACCCAGAGAACCTTAAAAGTAGGTGAGCAAAGAGCTTGGAGACAGATGGCTCTAAGCAGGAACTGTAAGGTAGGTGTGTGTGTGTGTGTGTGTGTGTGTGTGTGTGCTGTTGATGAATGAGGAAGTGGGAGAAAAGGGGGGTGGAGAATTACTTGGGACAACACCATTATTCCAAGAGGCTGCATTCTCAAGCCTCTCTCTGTAAATATTGAATAAAAAGCAGATGGTAAGGACTTTTCCTTGTCTTATCCGTTCCTGACAACCTGCAGTGGGGGTTGGTTCCTCTGCTGCCTGACACTAACTAATGCACAGCCTCTTCCCCTGACTCTCACAGATTCAGAGTCAGACCCAGATATGCAAAACAGGACAACAGCAGGGCATGACATGGACAGGCCATAACAACAGTACAAGCTATAATGAAAGCAATGCCCTGGAGACTATTATTCTATTATACTTCAGTGGCACCTCCAGTTGCGAACGGGATCCATTCTGGAGATCTGGCCACATCCCGAGGAATTCGCAACCGAAGGACTGCTTCTGCACATGTGCGCATGACGAAACCCGGAATAATACTTCTGGGTTTGCCACATTCACATCCCGAAGTTTACGTATCCAGAGGGATACGTAAGCGGAGATACGACTGTATTATAAATAGCCTCAGCTCTGTATACCTGAAGCAGCATCTCAACCCCCATCATTCAGCCCAGACACTTAGGTCCAGCACTGAGGGCCTTCTGGCGGTTCCCTCACTGCGAGCAGTGAAGCTGCAAGGAACCAGGCAGAGGGCCTTCTTGGTAGTGGCGCCCACCCTGTGGAATACCCTCCCATCAGATGTCAAGGAGATGAGTAACCATATGACTTTCAGAAGACATCTGAAGGTAGCCCTGTACAGGGAAGTTTTTAATGTTTGTGGTTTTATTGTGTTTTTAATATTTTGCTGGGAGCTTCCAAGAGTGGTTGGGGCAACCTAGTCAGATGGGTGGCTTATCATGATCAATATTATTAATATTATTATTCTGCTACAAGTTTCTCATGGCCTTTAGCTAGAACAATCAAGTCATGATCTGGGCTGAGAAAAGAGTATGACAGAGAGAGAGAGAGAGAGAGAGAAAGAGAGAGAGAGAGAGGGTGGCCCCCAACTTTTGGCCCTGCCCTGCCCACATTTGGCTCTGACCCCACTCACTGATGGCATGTGACTCTCTCCTGCAGGAATGCTGCCCTTAACAGAAAAAATTCTCCCCACCCTTTCCCTGAACCTTTCATGAGTTGACCAGCCTTTTAATTTCTCAGTTCTGTAGAGGGTGATTTTCTACTTACCATCCCCTTTACTTTGCCTCCCCAGTGCTTGGAGTGCATTGCAAACGGAGAACTCAACCCGGCCAGCTTCTGCGTTGCAGCACAGTGTTTTTGTTGAAAGCTTTCCCCATTTCTCCCTTCCTCCTTTGCTGGAGACTGAGCTGCTCTCTCAGCATGGGGGAATTTAATGTCAAAGGTGAAGTTCTTCCAAGGTTAATGCTGATTGGATAGAAACCAGTGAAGCTTTGTCTATTACTGCGTTATTCACAGAGGAATATTGCTAAGAAGTGTGCACTGCCGGTGGCATTCTTTTGAAAGCCTGGCTATGCCATTGCTGATCATCTCATTCTGTGGTAGAGAATTCCACAGATCATATACTGGTTAATAAACATTTATTTTGATGCGTTTTAAGTCTGTTGCAAATTTATTCATTGCTTGCCCGTAATGCTCAGTATTGTCTACACTGATTGGCAACAGTTTTCCAGGGTTTCAGGCAGGGAATCCCAACAATTTGGGACCTTCAGCTCTGCCATTGACACACAAGCTTTCTTTGTAGTATTTGTAATATTTGAAACTGGGATTAGCTGAGAGAAATCAGAATATTGCTTAAGGAGTTATGAACATTAAAAAAGAGAAGAATCTGAAGATAAGCATAGCAAGAGCCATTTAGACTCAATACTGAAATTTTAGGGAAGAGCATGTCAAGTTAAATGATATGTTTCAGGAACAGGGAAAAAAATGCATTTTTTTTTTGAAGCAGAAATATTCTGAATGTAAGGGGAAGCCTTAGAAACTAGTACACAAAAGGAACAACATTATTCCTCCTATTTTGAAAGATGAAAGTGAAGGAGGAGAGGATGGTTAAAATAGCTGAAGGAAACAAAATAACATTTTCTATTTTGATAAGAAAGTTTATGAGGTTGATTCAGATCCTACAACCAAAAAATGTTTCTGGTTGCAGGCCCAGGTGCAGTGAGTCCACGACTGTTGAAGCCCTCAGTGAGACAAGTTAATAAAGGCATAGGACAACGAACATGGGTTTGAATAGGCCATAACTTTTACTGATTACAGGTAAATCATTTTCACAGAATCAGAATTGCAGAGCTGGAAGAGACGATGAGGTTCATATTTTGCCCAACATGGGGCTCAAACCCACGACCCTGAATTTTGGAGTCTCAAGCTCTACCAACTGAGCTATCCCAGTCAAAGTTGTAGGCACTGGGTATGTATCCTGAATCAAGCAGCCCAGCTACTGGTTGATTATTTTGGTCAGGTCGACTCTGGATTAAAGGTCACTCTATGACATGCATCAAATCGGGGCAACCATCAAGGACCACCATTCTGGAGAAGTGCGTATGGCCCATCAGCCTCTGTCTGGGTATCTGGACAGGTACCCCCTCCTGGACCCCTTGCATTGGGGGATGGGCTCCCAACCCCCACCTTCAAGTAGGGATCCAACCCAATGCCTTTTCTGCTACCCAAGCTGGCCCCTTCCTGTTGGGTCACTGCCAAACCACATCTGCAACCAACTCCAAAGGGGGTTGGCAATATCTCACTGTGACGTTAACATATATGAGAGAGTAAAAGGTAAAGGTAAAGGGACCCCTGACCTTTAGGTCCAGTCGTGGACAACTCTGGGGTTGCGGCGCTCATCTTGCTTTATTGGCCGAGGGAGCCGGCGTATAGCTTCCGGGTCATGTGGCCAGCATGACTAAGCCCCTTCTGGCAAACCAGAGCAGTGCATGGAAACGCTGTTTACCTTCCCGCCGGAGCGGCACCTATTTATCTACTTGCACTTTGACGTGCTTTCAAACTGCTAGGTTGGCAGGAGCAGGGACCGAGCAACGGGAGCTCACCCTGTCACGGGGATTCGAACCGCCGACCTTCGGATTGGCAAGTCCTAGGCTCTGTGGTTTAGCCCACAGTGCCACCCAAGTCCCTTATATGAGAGAGTACTGAAGGTGAAATAGTTAAACAGGTTGCCTAGTCAGGACCCAGGGGGATGGAGTCAGTGGGACTATAAAACCAGCTCGGGGGGGGGAGGGCAAAGGGAGGAGTTTGTTGAGGAGTTTGTTGGGAGCTGGGTGGTTGGTTGGAGTGGGAGTGAATTGGGCTAGAGTTGTGAGTAGGTTGAGTTAGTGTAACGAAATAGGCTGAGTCAGGAACAGTTAGGGGCTAGGCAGACAAGTAAATATCGGAGAGGTGCTTTAGTGAGTGAGAGCAGGTGGTGAAAGTTATAGGCACCCCATGAATGTAATTGACGGATACTGCTTATGAAACCACACGCTTGTTAAACTGCAATAAATAAACAGAAGTTTATGTTCCGATTTAACCCTGACTGGACTCAGTATTGTCCCAGGTAGGGCCTGGGTGGTGGCAGCAAGGAAGAAAATGGTGGCACAGGGATCAATGGACGGTGAAATGTCCGGGGACTCTGTATGATCGCCACACTCACAAGCACACCTCATGCTCAGTGGATGAAAAATGCACCCCGTCTGGTCAGAACAGACTGTCATTGTTAAATGCAATGCCAGTGTGTGGAATTCCCAAACCTCCAAGCACAGCCCTGTTCATCTTTTTCCAAGCCGGTTGACCCAAGCAGGTTTCACAGTGCCCTTCGAATGCACTCCAACATATCAGACCAAAGTCAGGAAACACGGGGGGTGGGTGGGGAGCAGTATGCTAAGCCTTGAGACCCGCAATTGCTGTAAAAGTGAGGCCAGTGCCCTTCCTGCTGCCCAGATCGCTTTCTCCAAACTCAATAATCAGTGCGTAGGGCGGTCCCACACAATCTGTGCTGTGAGCAAAGGCTTCAGGCCATCTCAGCACATTCTTCTGCAGCCGAACCAGGTGAGATGAGCTTGTGCATCTAGGCTGAGGTGGTGGCTCCAAGGCATTGCCATGACAACCGCCCAGTGCATGATGCTGCAGCCACAGATCCACATTTCCATAGGGGGCAAAACTGGAAAAAGGATAATCAGAAGGAATGGGTAAGTTTTGTGACCTTGGGTTGACCCACTGTGAAAGGAATGGGTGGCATAATCAGTGGGGTTAAGCCCACAAGAAAGCATGGCCTTCTTCAAAACTGCTATAAATTGCCACAGACGTGGCTGCTTTATATGTGTGGGTGGCGGACCTGAGTGATGCCTTTGACGGGTCCGCCAGTCAGGCCACACCTCCCAGCCTGCCTGCGACTGGCCAATTCAAGGCTCCCAGAGGCCAACATGGCTGCTGGAGGGGTGTTATGTATTCAGTGGTCTGTGTTTGCCTGAGCTTGAGTCTGGACTAAGGGTTCTAAGCCCCTGTGTTCTGATTCGATGCATGATATCCAATCACAGAGCATGTCAGGATTTGGGCCTCTGCCATTGGCCATTAAACTCTGAGTCATGATTCGCAGCTTGGAAGTTTAGACAGCCAATCATGTTGGGAGTGGGAGTGGCCCAGGCCTACAGAAATGTATATAAGCAGTTGTTTTGCCCCTGTTGTCCAGTTATGTAGTTCAATAAAGGTTCTTGCTGTTATCACTGTGTCTTGCCTTGTGGGAACACAATGGCTACGGCCCCCAAACGGCCCTGGCTGTGCCGGGCCACAACAGTCAAATTCCCAGGATTACCAGTGAGTGTTTTATAATCATTAGAATATTTCTTGTACTGATACACAGGGTACAGAAAAAAACCCCTTTGCATTTCCCCCTGGGCAAAAAATACTTTGCTTTCAATGCTCATAAAAGCAACATTGCTGCTGGCCACAGGTAGGGTGGTGACTGCCACCCACAAGTAATTTATTTAGCAGTATCAATGCCGTAGCAAAACCAGTCTAATGTGAAGCCGGCACCTTCACAAACATCATATGAAGGATATTTTGTAGGAAAGTGGAAATTCTCTACCCAGCAAAACATTTGCTTAATCCTTTTTAAAACCCCCCAACATATTTCCATTAGGGCACCTGGATCCATAACTTCATGTGATAAAATAAGTGTTATTCATATATGAGTGAACATAGTGTTTCGGTCCTTCTTGTGGGACTTGCCCCTGTTACTAGGGGACATTTTCCTTTTACTGGAAGTGGTTAAGAAAATCTCAGCAGGCTTTGGTACAATTATCGTGGCCTGTGGTTTCCATCTTCTGCCCTCCTAGCTCTGCAGTTTCTCAACCGGTGGGAATTTAGCAAACTACTTGGAAGGAGTTCAGGTCAATCAGGCATCAAAATCTACCTTCTTCTCACACACTAGACAGTACTGACGCAGTCTGAAAGCTGCACTGTGCCTTTTCACACGGTGTGCTCACCAGGGACAGGAGCACCGGGGTTGGGAAATGGTGTCCAAAAATAAACACCTTTCAGGACTTTCACGGTAGGGCCTCTCTCTCTCTGTCTCTCTCTCTCTCTCCTGTCCTGGAAACTGAACACAGTATCTTCTTTCTTCAGCCGCAGCATCTCTGTTAGGATTAGTTGTATGTGGTAATCAGGAAGAATGCAATGCAGTTATGAAGTCCCAGCACACAAGAGAAGGAAAACACGCCTCCCTTTTTCGTTTTGTGCAGATTAAAAGTACAGGTGACGAGCTGGGAAAGAAATACTTCAAAAAGAATTTGAATTCGGTGTTCCTGAAATTGGTTGGAATGAAAAGCACAAGTCACAAAATCATAGAGTTGTAGATCTGGAAGGGACCCCTGAGGATCATGTAGTCCAACCCCCTACAATGCAGGAATAGGCAGCTGTTCCATATGGAGATTGAACCTGCAACCTTGGCGTTATCAGCACCATGCTCTAACCCACTGCGCTTTCCAGGCTAGTCTCCTCCACATGTTCCCTCAAATCTAGCAAAACGGGACTTGGGATTCAAATAATGGATTGCATTCTAAGATAAGTTCTCTTAAGTTGCCCATCTACCTCTCCCTCTGCAGCCACCTGACTCTCCTTTGGGTGAAGAGGGTCCCTCACAATAGGGTTGCCATACGACCGGAATTTCTTGGACATTGCTGGGATTCGGCCATCTGAAACAGTGTCTGGACAGAAAACGCTGGACTGTCTGGAAAAACCAGCAACTTTTTTGTCTGGACTTTCACTTTTTGAAATATGGCAACCCTACCATGACTGAGGGATGTGGGTCTAAACCACAGAGCCTAGGGCTTGCTGATCGGAAGGTCGGCGGTTCGATTCCCCGCGACGGGGTGAGCTCCCGTTGCTCAGTCCCAGCTCCTGCCCACCTAGCAGTTCGAAAGCATGCCAAAAAGTGCAAGTACCGTAGTTTTCACTCCATAAGACACACCTAGTTTTTAGAGGAGGAAAACAAAAAAATATATATTCTGAACGCAACAGTGGGTGCGTGATTTTTTTGGTGCAGGCTGTAGCCATGGACATGCTATGTGATCTGATGGTGAATTTGGGGTGACCCAATGTAAAAATTCTGAGGTTCCATGGGCTTTTACCTTCTACCTCCCAGTCAGCCTCCGATGTCCCTGATCTCTCTTCTGATTCCACCAATCAGCTGTTTCCTTTCTACACTCCCTTCCCTCTTGTTTGCCTTAGTGTCTTTTCCTTAGCTGGAGCAGTTTTTTGCTCCTCCTTTTCTTCTAATTTCTCTCCTTATTGCTTTAGTCTTCCTGTTTACCCCCTTTGCAAGTTTGCTGTCTTTACCTCCCCCCTCCCAGGCAGCCTCCTTTATCTCTAGCGTCCCTTAGCTCTCTCCCCGATCGGCAAACGATCAGTGGCTTTGTTTCAACACCAATTCCCATGGCAATTCAGCTCCAGGGACCATGCATTCACTCCATATGACGCACAGACATTCCCCCTTTTTAGGAAGAAAAAATTACGTCTTATGGAGCGAAAATACAGTAGATAAATAGGTACCGCTCCAGCGGGAAGGTAAACAGCGTTTCCGTGTGCTGCTCTGGTTCGCCAGAAGCGACTTAGTCATGCTACATGCCACATGACCCGGAAGCTGTCTGAAGACAAACGCCGGCTCCCTCCTGCTGCCTGAGGTGCTTGCCTCACCTTGCCTCTTGGGTGGGCTGGCCCTGTGAAGATTCCACACGTGGGCCTAAGCGGACCTTAGTTCAGGAGGATCATCCTGAAGGCAGAGTCATTACAGGTCAGAATCTGAAATGAATACTTCATCTGAAGGAGGCCCGAAGAGGGAAGACAGGCAGCAGGAGACGGAAAAGTTGATGGACATGGACGCTGGAAGACTGGAAAGGACTAGCGG